CCTAACAACGACGGAATAACAATGTTACCCAATCAGAATCGCGTATATTGTTTAAAGCACTCAAATCGACGTGACAAAAATGGCGTGACTTTCAGGTCCCCAGTAAAAATAGCGTGACTGTTTGTAGCGGAATAACACCTGAGTGACCTACCTGGCTTCCATGCGCCAATTCCCACAGAGTTGTCTAAAAATACTTTGAAAGTGATGACATGGCGGGTCTTCCTCTGTTGAATAATTAAGTTAACGTTTCATCAAGACACTTAATAATAAGGCTAAAATTCAATTAGTGAGATGTGTCCATGAAAAGTGAGTATGTACCCACGCCTTGATAACGTGAAAGAAAGATACAGCTGGCTACGTCTTCAATTCTAGGGAAAGGTACCTTCTCCGATTCTCTCACCTTGAAGATTTGTATTCAAGCATTTGTTTTACGTTCTGCAGGCATAAAAGCGTTAAACGACAATCGGTGTCGTTATTTCTCAATTTTTTTTTCTCCCATAATGTGTATTCGGTTCGGATGAAGTAGGAATATTTTGAATACCCTGTTTTCGTTATGATTAATAGCCTATTCGAGGAATTGTTGTGGAAAAATTGTGCGAACTGCGGGAGGCGAAAGGAAGAAATTGAGAGAAGTCTTAAGTAAGGTTTTTGTTTTCATCACCCGATGCAATTAATCAGTTTTCAGAAGGCCGGGGAGGGGGGGGATACTTTCGTAAATTTCGGATAGGTGTGTGCCTCGAAGGGTCTTAAACCCTGACCCTATTTAAGGATGAAGGACACGAAAAATTTACGGCCCAAACCCGAAAATGACACCCTATTGAAGGCAAAAACAAAAACTAGGAGTAGCGTGGACGGCTCAACTTATATTTTGTTTCTGTAACATTGGAAGTATACGGGTAGTTTAGTTTTAACAGATCATTTGATTTTCGTTTAGCTGGGTGCTTACGCACTGCAATTTTAGCTGATGCAAGTTAGGTACCCTATCTAAGGATCACACCGGGAACACAATGCCAAGAGGGGCAAAAATGATACCCTATGGATCGAGAACCTCAAAAACCCTACCCTATCCCGCGGTACATACCTACATAGCCCATATATGGGAGTACCCCCCGGGCCGAATGGATTGATGTAATATAGAACAAATTGTACACACAGCTGTTTTGAAAGTCTTTAAGGTAACCAAAATACGTCAGAGGCAGGTTATGGTCGAAGAAGTCAAAGAAAACTAAACCTTTTTCCGGGTTTCTTTTAAAAACGTGATCATACCTATATTGCCATGTATTTACCTCAATTAATTACGCAATCGTCGTTAATTGCGGTTTCGCTTGAGGCACGTACTGGAAAAAAAAACAAGATTGCCGAGTAATTTGCAGTCACTAATGACAGGCCTCGTAAAGTGCCCGCATTCTTTATAAAGTAAATATGTAATGTTGTCGATTCTGAATTTGCTGTCCACTGGATAAACATTGTCGTTCAATGCATGTTTCGAAATGGGAAAATGTCATTTTTCAAAGACAAAGAGATGACTGCTTAATTACTTTTTGACTGGCGACCGAAGAGGGATAGCAAAAATGCCAGACTTCCAGCATATGAATCAAGACTGTCAGTTTTTTATCGTTCATCCATGATGTGACCTGTCACTCCACAACAGCCCTTTTCACTTTTACCTCTTCTGTTTTGCATTACGGTATAATCCAACACGTATGTGAAGTAATATCGGCCAATAGACCATTTCCGAGTTGCCTTGTGCCTCTGTTTGAAAAAGAGTATTCGTGCAAAACCTTTCATACGAAAATGAGTTTGACTTGGATGAAAATAAACCTGTATAGGGGAAAAACATTTTCATATGAATGGTTTCGCACGGAGACTCGTTTTGAAACAGAGGCAAAAGGCAACTCAGAAATGACATAGTTCTTTTAGTTTCTGCCCAAAATTACCTCGCATCTACACTGAATTACATTGTAATGCAAATGAGAAAAGCTAATCTTGAGAAAGGGCTATTCAACGATCACAAAGAATTTTTAGCAAAAAGATTTAAGTTTTAGGCTGGTAAGTTGACAGTGTTAGGTTTACTGGTTGACAAGGTAAACGGTTTTAAACACGCTTATACTGAAATGAGATGAACTACCGGTAAACCAGGGTATTGTGGTGCGATTGGTTTCCGTGACATAACGGCTCTGGGCTGCGTAAAGCACTTGTCAAGATTGGTCTGCCGCTAGGTCATTTTGTCCCAATGTGCTCGTCCTGAAACCCATTGCGTTTTATCCTCACATTCTTAAAAAAAATTGATATTTTGAACCCCGTTTGTAATATTCAGGAGATTGTAAACCCACCCTTCAGCTTCCCTTATATTAGCATCCCCTCCGGTGTAAATTTATTACGATAAAATCTTTTCCTGCATTCTTGGAAAAGCTTCGTTTCCCTGCCACAAAGATTTGTAAATTTATTAACACTCAAGCAGACACTCTCGAATTAACTCAGCCAAGAAAGTCGTAACCTTGGATAGCGAAATTTGTTCTTGACGGTATCAGTTCAAAATCAAGAGACTAAGAGATGGACCCAAAATCATGCTAGTTTCAATTAAAGTGAGCGACTATGGGATGCTCACAAGAGGCCTTCAAAGACCTGGGATTTCAGCAGCATTGTTTGTGTTATTCAATATGTTTTTATTAGTATCTAACTGTGCTCGCCTTTACAACAAAATTTAATTAATTTTTCACCTAACTGGCCCTTTTTTTTAATAATCGAGCTGACAGACAAATCACTTTTGTCTCGTCGGAAGTCTTTTAAACAGGACCTAAGTTAATTTACTTGTTTTCATGTAGCCGCTATTTTATTAAAAAAAAGTTTGTCTTCTTTTGTAGCAAATAAAAGGTAATTACCCGAGTCCTGTAAAAGAAATTATTATTAGCGTGGTTATGCAGTAATTGTGTTTTCCATAATTTTCCTTTTTTTGTCAAACTTAATTGAAAATGTTGGGCTAATTTCATTTTGTTTTGGCACACGTCGCAGACTAATGTTGTATGTACCTGCTTTCATATTTCACCCCCGCCATTCTGTTGATCTTTATGAACTTTTCAAAGTCAACTCAGTCTTTTTGGTTAACCCAAAATGGAGTGCCATTTAGCAATCACCCAGAATAAAATTTAAAGTGTCGCAACTTGTAAATTACACCGATTGAAATTATTTTTTTGTTGTAGCCGTTGCCGCTTCGTTTTTTGTTTGACTGCCACGTTTTTTTTAACTCTCTAATGTCATCTGCTGACTATAAAAAATTGTAAATTATAGTATTGGTAAATCAGCAGTATGATTTCTCTTTAAATTTGATGGAGTAAGACTTCTAACATTTATATGTTTTATGTGCATGCTCGCTTAGTAGCGATGGTATTAAAATACTATGCACATAATTGCAGTAATGACTGAGAAATCAAGGTTATCATATGCAAAGAAGTTTCCGTATTTTCTCGGCGTGGGCGAATTCACGTCTTATCTCGAGTTCTTGCGTTCTGTTCCTTTCCGACTTAATTATTGTGTATTGAACATCTTGCAAATATATCCTACCAAAATGTTTTCAACTGTCTTATATGACTTAAATTTAGACCTTTCTCCAGTAGAAGGGTGGAAATGTTTTTCAGTTGTTGGCGTAGTAAGGACTGTTAGGTGTTAAGTAGAGAACCATTTTAAGAGCAAAACAACCCGACCGCACGGAACACTGAAGCAGTTAAAAGCATTTTCACCTAAGTGTGCACTTTCCTTGGTTCTTTTGTTCTTATGCCCGCCACACTTCTACACCATAAGGTTAACCACAAGAGTTTGCCACTTTGTATTCCAACCTCCAAGTACAATATAGTTCCCTCAACAAGATTATTTCTGTGTTTGAGAGTGTTTTAGTCGCCTTGAAGAATCTAATTCATCAGTTGTCGCACACAACCTCCGTGTGTTGTTGCCGGCGTGCGTCAATAAGTGGCTTTGCGGCAAACTGTGACTGCGAAGGGAAGTTATGTCTGGTTTTATTTTTGCGGCTATGAAAAGGCGGGTGATGTTACTGGTGCCTTGATCTCTAGGAAAGCTATATATTAAAATGATTTTTTCGAATTCTTCACTCAGTTATTACATGGCAGTTTACCATCGAACAGGCCAAAGTTACGTTCTATCAGTCTTCTAACAGAAGGCATATTATTTCTGATATTCTAGCAAAAGAAGCGTTCTGAATAGTCCTGAATATTTTGTAAGAATTAGTCAGTTATTTTCCACGTTAAATAGTTCAGTGAAAGGTTGTTTTTTAACGCTCTATAAAAGCCTCTTATCTTGGACTGAAAATCGTCATCAGTGAATTTAAAAAAAAAAAACAAGGAATTACTCGAAAATGCAAATGCCACTCAAAACTGACTCAGTTTCTAGTTTTATGTCATTTTCGAAATGGCATGCTTGGTCACGAAGAGATATAAATTTCTTACGTTTTTCCGGAGAGTGTATATCAATATTTTTGTAAAATTCTGTGGCAAGACTTCTTTACTGAACACTGCAGTCCTTTGCTCGATCAAGACTGAAAACTGCATCGCCTGCACACCGCTGTTTTATGATTTCATTAGCACTCTGCGGCAAATGATAGCTCGGCTCCTAGAGACTGAAAATATTATGACGGAGTTCTGGAGTGTTTAGCGATACTTCAGCAAAGTTTCGCGTATCGTTAGCAAGCTTTTTCATCGCCGCTTGATACGCAAATGTTAGGGCGTCGTTTTCGCGCTTATTAGTTTTGACAGCAACGAAAAAAAAAAGTGTAATTTGGGAAGGGCTGTATACATAAATGTGCGTGTTACTGATTACGAATAAGGGCATTCTTAATAAACCAGGAAAAAAAAACCTGGGAGAAAGTCACGTTTTTAAAGGGATTTTCAAGAGCTCTAGATCTGATGTAACAGAACTGAAGATCTGAACCTAGTAAGTTTGCTGCTGTTGTTTTCGCACAGTTATTTTTTTTTTCATTTGATTCAGAAAAGCTGAAATCAATATCCGTGTGCCACTCAAATTGCCTGAAAAGTGCTAAATGAGCAAATTACAAGAGAAAACAAGGAAATAATATTAACCCGTCCAATGTAAATGTGTCAAAAGTTGCGTTATTTCTGTCAAATCGGAAAGTTTTCAAATTTTCGGCTCACGCTGCGTATGTTTAGTTTTCGATGTGTTGTGGCCAAGCAATTGCCTTTTAACAGTTCTGGTGATTGGACGGAAGTTTTTTAATAGACTGAAGTGTGGTCAATACAACCTTCTGTTGATATGTATGCCTACTTACAAAACACTGTCAATCTATTTTGCCCATTTCGTCTTTCCGGAGGCAGAGAGGAAATGCGTCTTGAATGCTATTAGTTATTCGTAGCACGTTCAGATACAATTGTCATAAATTCATTAGATCGTTTTGCTCCAGATGATTAAGGGCTCCAAGGCAGACTTTGCGTGCAATCGCCGGAAAAATTTTCGCCCCGCTGCTTCGCCGTCACCGCCTTCAAAGACCTGAATGGGCAATTCAATACTTGAGTTTAGCTGTGTCACTTTTTTCCGTCCCAGCTGAGTTAGCTAATTAATTCGTGTTCGAGTATCTATTTAATCTGTTGAAATAATATTTATATGGAGCTCGTACTAGCTTAAACTAAACATCTCAACCAGCGTGAAGCTAAATTACGAATGTGTCTGGCGCTGGGATTTCGCCAACATAGAGTTCTCTTGTAGACCTTACTTGGACATTCCCATTGGCGTAATTTTATCCTTTTCTCGTGTGAAAACAAATCCAGATAGGTCGAACTTGAATGTAATAGGTCTAAAAACTCTATTCTTGTTTTGCCTATTTGTTTTGATTGAAGTTGTGTCTAACAGGAAGTAATTAGCCCCTCGGGTGAGAACGGATTAAATTGCTTGTTCGAGCTGATTCCTCTTCGTCGCTTTTAGCTCCTTTTCTGCTGACTTATTTCGATGGAAAATTTATAAAATATCCACACCCCTGCGCAGCTTGGCGAATTGTGGACGAAAACAAAGCAGAAAGGTTCCGTTCTTTATGTATTCCTCATTCGGGATCCTTCAAGTTAATCTTAAGACTAGCATCTTTATTCTGTGCGAAGATTACCCTTGAAAATAATCACCCTTCTTGGTGATAGCTCTGTATTCTATCGAGAATACAAAAAAATCGATCTCGAAATAGCTGCTTTCGATGATCAACTGATTAAAGCCCTTGTGTGAACTATTCACTTCTTTGTACGCTTTATTTTGGTGCGCTCCCGCGCTTTTTCCCATCTGTTACCGCGAAATATTTCCGTTTAAAAACAGAAAACAAGTTTTGGACTGGTGCGTGCTCGATTGAAACGTTTCATGCCACGCAGGCACTACTTTATTTCTGTCAGTGAAGTCTATCCGTCTTAATCTAGCACTATCGCATTGCGAGGCAACGTGAGTGACAAACTTTGAAATGCAATCATCACTAGGTCAGGAATGTCTGTCGTTGCTATGGTTTGACAAGTATCTTTGCTTTGATCATTCATCTTTCAGCGTCGCGACCCCAGGAACGGTGCGCTTGATTTGACTCAAATTAATAATATTCTATTATCTATTTTCATCCCGTCTTAATTGCTAGCTTATTTGAGCGATAATTACTGGCTGGGCGAGCATAAAACTCTGAGAGCGACCAGTGGTGTTGCCATTCGAAGGGAGTTAGACAGGCGAAGCACTTGACATCATACCGTGAACATTCCGCGAGAGAGATTTTTACCGTCATGGCCGACAACAACTCTACAAGAGATACAGACTCCGTGTGTTCGGAACCTACGCTTCCTTTATTCAAGCTTTACACTACGTTTCTCGTGTTAATCATGTTGGCCACAATATTTGGGAACGTTCTGGTGATAACCGCGGTTTATCTCTACCATCGCTTGCGCCGAATGACTAATTTCTTCATCATCTCTCTGGCCATTTCCGACCTGTTCGTAGCACTGATTCACCTACCGCTTCGCATCGACCAGAGCGTGCATAACAACAACTGGTGCTTCGACAAAGCACCCGGTGTTGTGACGACTTGTGCCTACTGGATCGTGATGGACACTGTGTTTAGTAGCGCATCAATTTGTAATCTAGTCGTGATCTCGATTGATCGCTTTCTAGCTATCACCAAACCCTTCCATTACCAGAGGAGGATGACGAAAAAAGTCGGCTTCTCGCTGATTGCGTTCGTTTGGGTATACGCGATGTTGTGGGGCGCTCTGAGCTTGATCGACTGGACAGCCGGCCCGAGAAAGAACCCTCACATCAGTGTCGAATGGAGCCCATCAAACGAGCGAACTTGCGGCAAAAATGACAAAATTTACTACACTGTGGCTATGGCCGTTGCTTTCTTTTTGCCTCTGCTAATAGTCATCGTAACTTACTCTTGTGTGTTTCGCGTGGCGTTTATTCAAGCGAAAGCGGTGGCGTCGCTTGATCCGACCAAGGGAAAGAGGCACATTTTGCGCGAACTGAAGGCAACCAAAACTATTGCTGTTGTTATTGGAGTGTTTATTGTGTGCTGGCTACCGTCTTTTATTCTTATTGTGATGAGTTTGTGGTGCACGCAGTGCTTCGTTCCGTTCATAACGAACAGAGCGCTGTCCTACGCCATAAGAATCACGTTTATCTTCGTGCTGCCCGTCATGAACAGCTCGCTAAACCCGTTGATTTACACGCTGTTCAACAAGGAATTCCGCTCCGCATTCAGCCGTATGCTGTGCAGGAATAGAGATGCCTCACGGAGTGACGCCATGGATGAAGTCTCCGTTACTGAGGCCACAGGCGCTAGAATGAGTACTACCAGGAGCAGTGGACGAAAATCTTGGATAAGCATGAACGGAAGAGACAAGAGGCCGAGTTAGGGTCGGCCGACGCGCCGAGGCAAACCGTGAGATTCTTGCGGAATCAAAGGCCAAGTATCGGCTAATCGGCTGAAATCTTGAACGACATGTCATCAAAGAAGGGATTTGAAATTGAAAAAACTAAAGTAATTCCAAACATTTTGACAGGAAGACAAAACCATACTATTCGGCCGTTGCCGCCAAATTCGTTTTCCCGCGGGCTTTTCGACCGTCTTTACAAATGCTAGATATACACTGATGTGGGTTAAAAGTATTAATTTTAATCTCGGTCATCTAGGAATCCTTGCAAAGACGTGGCTGTTCGCGATAAGTTTAAAATTTGTCGCAAAGTTTTCATTCGGTGACTTCAAAGTCGTTCCAATTCAAATAAACCAAGTTTTTTTCTCGAAAAAATAAACCGAAGTATAAAAAATCCCACGGGAATTGAAACAATCTCTTCGTTTATTGTAGTTTTTGTTTTGTCAAGGAGAATATGTTGTCGTGAGTAGCGTGAAATTGTGGCAACAAAGCTCCAATACGCAATTTGAATACGAAACAACCGGTATTGTTTCAAACGAACAAGTATACACACATAACTTTGATATGATTGGAACGGTTTCGTGACATTACATCTTTAGAGGTATAACAAACGATAGTTTCCTCGAATATTGCCACAAGACGCAAAATCGAATTGCAATTGATTTGTATATTTGAACGAAAATAATGAGGGCACCTTGTGGCTGTGGTATATTTAGCCCTAGCTGTGTACCTTTTCAGACTGTAGATAAAACTTCTCGATTGAGAATTACGATAAGATATGTTAATTACTAGTGCATTTTATTTTATCTTAGCTAGATAACTAACGATAGATGTTGTTCAGTTCCAAAAAAATCGCGTATCTTTGTAAATTCAGCTGTAGAAGTCGGCGGAAGTTTCTCCAGTCATGATCACCTAGATCTGTTAATACACTGGCTTATTACTTTGTAACAGCATAATCGTCTCGCAGGCTTTGACACCGCGTTTCTACAGTAAAACAACAGATAGCTTGCTCAGTTCGGTTTGTAAAGAATACATAATTTACCTATTTGATAAGATTATAAGCTTGGAAGCTTTTTAAATTTGCCTTCGAGTCTGATGGCCCCAGGGATTTTTGTCTGTGTAATTTGCAGCTGTTTGTAAAACTCTAAAGCGTTAAAAAATAAAGTTCAACTTGACCGCGTTGTTTCATCTTTTTTATGAGTTTTTAACGCAAAGATTCTAACAAGAGAAACCGCCTGGTGGGTAGAAAAGAAATGGATTTAATGTGTCACACTGAGAGATTTATTTCCTTTATAGAGAAGCAATATGCAAAATGTGGTTTGGTAGAACATTTTGTTTTGCGCCGGCAATAGTCGCAAATTGAAAACGGTACTTGCAAGAATACGTTCTAAAGCCGTTCTGACGAAAGCTGCTTTCCTCTGGAGATAAACAAACAGGAAAAACATGTCTTGTGCTCTACTGCAATAAAACTGCTGTTTTTTTTTCAAAAGTTTGAAAAGCATCTGCTAACAAGGGTCTTGTTTTTAGTAGATTTGACAGAGATGATTATCACGGCTTTCGACCATTACTATAGCAACGTCTTTCAAGGCTTCTTTTGGCGACAGAAAAACTGGGTAATTCTGCTGTGTTTGGCAGTCCGAGAAGGATCCATCATTTTTGCCTGACATGACAAACATCCCATTTATTTCAACGCTTGGGAGTTTCGATAACTTGAAATATATAACCCGCAACGACTTATCAAAGGTCGTATTGTACCCAATAATGGAAGATTTATAACAAAAGTACTTCTAAGAGAAACCGAGGCCCCCCGTTTATTCAGTTCAAATTGTTTTTGCTTTCTTCCTTTCATTCGTCCTTGATCGAAGCTAATTATTCAATAATACCTCCTCAAGAACCATGGGAACACAAAACGTCCATCAGAAATATGTCATTTGTATAATGAAATATACTTTAACACTTTTGAGTCCGTCGTCGGTACAATGATTGTATATGTATATGTGGATTGTTCCCAATAGCAATTTTTTTAAACCAATTTCCTCCTTAATGGTGGCAATAAAGTAAAAAGTCAAACCGCAAGAATGACGACAATACATTGTTTATTTGACATCGATTTGATATTTCACGATCAGTCTTCAAGGACTTTATTAGAATAACATTTGTTGTCATGGCGCCCTCAGGACAATCACTCCAAATGGGTCCTTTGTGTCGCTGTTTTTAAAGAACGCCAAAATTTAATTACAAAATACAAACAGCTTCCTCTAAGCTATTGACGTAAACTGTTAGCTTATAAGGGCCAACTTAAGAATGTGACGTCGAAATAAAAGCTTTTGCTTGCGTTTCTGATGCCCCTCCCATACGCTAACTTTTGTTACTTAAGCTACAGGGTTTACAGTGAGTTGACAGCTTGATTACCGTGCAAGCATTCCTTATGATCGCGCTTGATCGAAAGGTCTTAAGAGATGTCGCTTTTAATTTGCGTGCCCTTTTATTAACCTTATTTCTTGCGAAATCTGTTTACTTTGCTGGCGTGCGTGTGTTTACATTAAGCTTCGAATTCCATTTTGGACCTCACGAAGACTGCATCCAATAAATACCGTGTCCGAATTGGTCAAAATTGTTTTCAAAATCACCACCAACCTTGCGCTAAAACCCTTAAAGAATTTTACATTACAGTTCCAAATTGAAAAGTAATTTTTGTTGCTGCCCTCTAGAATTCTCGCAGAATGCCTAATATGTTCCCCAATTAGATGGAAAATTAATTACAGTTGCGTTGTTTGCCCAGTGTGACTCCTGAAATGAAATCACTTTGTTTCGAAGTTTCGTCATTACCTCTGAAAATAGATCTTTGCTGCAATATGTTTTAACGTTTGTTCCAGTGTCATGTTTAAATTGTTTGTAAAACTCGAATTCAACAAGGTTCGTGTTCCCAAGCTGTTTTTGTTACGGTGAATTATGGTGCACGCCGTTTAAACCGAAAGAAAAATAGGTTATTATTTCAGCAGATGTGTCGCAGATTTTTGAGATTAATGCTACCGATGTTTGCATTGCAAAATTGCAATAGATCCGCCCAGCGCTTCTGCAGGATAATTTTTCATAAAAGTGTCATATTCGTTCCCTTGATAAAAAAAGATGTCATTCGAAATGTTTGTGAAGTTTTTCCATTGTAGATCCTTTGATCCGTCTTTTCAGTTACTAATCCTTGTACAATCGCTCTCTAATACAAATCCTTCCCGTTTAATCTGCTAGGGCCTTTCAACGAGTTTGATCTTTGTATGTGTATCTCAGCGGAGTAAATCGGTTTACGTCGCGACCCTTCTGTCGATTGTATACTGATACTTTGTCTACTTTGCCGCCAAGGTCGCTTAAAATGTTTTTGTCGTTTTTTCAAGAACAAGCAACTGCTCGTATTTCATGTAATTTACTCAACGCCTTAGTTAATGAGACCATTCCACCGGCTTTCGGTGGCTTTTTTAAACATTCCAAATTTTTCTACCTTATGGTCTACGGAGAACAGGACGAGCTAAGTGGAAATTTCCTGACTTTTGTGTATAAATTGTTTTTAATCATTCTATTTTTGTAACCAGCGGCGTTTTAGTCTGTCCATTTACCACTTTGAATCGAAACTCAAGTAAGTAAAGTGGTTTTATTAGAGTGGACAATTAAGATTGCTTATGCAGTACAATTACTTGGTTTTATCATAGCAACTTCACTTTCTTGGCATTTCTTGTAGTATTTGATGATTTACTGATAATGTCTTAGCTGATCAATTCATGTATTCTTACGGACTACGCCACAGTACTTAACGTTTTATGGATATTTGGAGGAGACTTTGGCTATTCATCACAACAGCGTTGTTACGTGCTATAAACCCAACGTTGTAGGAAGTATTGTTCACGTCGGTGCTGTGTGATCTCCTCAATAAAATAAATTTATCGAAAATTAAATTTAGTCTGGCAAACTTGTAGATACGTTAAATTGATGGCATCTGTAATTAACTCTAAGAAAATCTACATATGAAGCTCTCCCATGTAATGATTGTAGAAGAAGATATGAGCGTTGAATATTAAATGAGATATCTCTTGCTGCCCATCCATGCTTATTATGCAAGACCTCGTGGTTTTTTGTACACGTTCATATTCCTTACATTATTGGCAGGTCTGTTGCATTATCCGCGCGGCGAATTTTGAAAGGACACTATCTTGACTTTTTGCTGCTTAAATTTATTATGGCCTAACCTTTGCTCGTGCACCAAATGGTACTCGAGCAACAAAATGAAAATAGTTAATATGTTGAGAGAAGAGCAAATTGTAATTGGTTTTTAACGTTTCTTTTTTGAGTCACGATGACAGACTTTGAAAATCTCTGCCAGATTCGGTTTCAACTGGCATTACGATCTTGTGCTTGCGTTGGTCATTGTAACATCTCCTTTTAGAACTTCAGTGCAATTAAACAAAACTACAATCATGGACAAAAGTCTTGGGACAAATTTGCACTTTTGGCGCTTTTGCGTACACGCCAGGCGCGAATACAACTTCACCTGCCTAACCTCGCCCCCCACCCCCCATACAATGTTGAAAACTAGTACGTGCAATTTCARCTGATTKTCAACATTGTGTTGGGTGGGGAGGGGGGACAGCAACCCGTTTATAAAGGATATAGCAGCGTTTTCTTCATACTTCAGTTCTAAAACACAGATAATCCGTTACATTACATAAGTGTCCCAAGGACTTTTGTCCACGATTGTAGACCATTACTTTTAGGTCTCCGTCATTGAAGACGAAACTTGAAACACATTAAGTAAAACCACTTAAAATTAACTAAACTTGTAATCACAATAACTATTTTGGGTGTGTTCACACACCCTTTCTTCCATAGATTCAGGTTGTTCTGATGTCTCTTGTCAACATTGAACAGAGGTTGATAAGGAAATGACTGCTGTTAAAAAGTGCCGATTTCAACACAGTTTATGACTAGGATTGTAGCTACAACATTGATTTTTTTCGGTGTTTCTTTCGCCATTTTGTACTGCGACGCGTTAGAGCACGCCCATGGGTGCACTAGCATTCCTTTGTTCTTATTGTGAACCAATTACAAATAGACTGCGAGCAATCCCTCTTTTGCTGTTAAACAGTCCGTGGGGAAGAACTGGCTCTCCAGTCGAGGATGGGGTATAAAGAAAGCGGGAAGAAAGAGCCTCCCCATTCCCCCCTCGACCACTCCACTCTTAGCCGATTTTTTCTCGGTCCTTCCAGCTGGAGCCTGTGAACAGGCTGATTCTTTGGCTGATCTGAGTTCGTCGTTCTAGTAAAGCGTTACCAGTCAAACAACTCAATTTAATTCCCCCAACTCGCAGAAAAAATAAGTGACTGAAAACTGAAGTTTAAGTTTCATCAAATCTATAATTATCATATGCCATCCAGAAAGCGTTGAAACAACACACTCAGGAAATGATTTGTCATGAAGAGACGTCCGTCAAGTGCATCCCATATACTCAAGAGATTACATCCTTAAATCGAATATGTTAACAGAAAAATCAACTACGAACGGAAGCCAACTGAAAACTATCTGCTACCTTGGCTTTTAATATCAACTGCTTTTAACTTCTTTCCTTACAAAGAGAAACCTGCACTCGAACGCAATCCTAATGGCATACAATCAATGCGGCTTATTAAACTCCCTTAAGGGGACACCACTCCTTGGAGACTCTTTCTGCCCAAAGTGTACGTAGAATTTTCCCTCAATGTCCAACAAACAGCAACTTGCCTAAGTGCAAATTGTTCGTGACCGAAATGTATGTAATGTTTTCTTTGCATTTTGACAGTAATTTTTTTACATATTTTTTATTAACAAGACATTTTTGTTTTATTACCGTTTTTAACCTCTTTTGTCTCTGGTCTATTACCTTTTTACTATTACACTTTTCCTGTGAACTTATCTTCTTTACTTTAATAGTTTGCAGGCATGCAAGTTTAATCAAGTGAGGCAGAGGGGATCAACACCATACGCCATGAACAGAAACTGTACTCAAATTGAACATTGTTTCAAAACAGAGGAACAAGTTCCGTGAATCAGCGGTTCAGTAATGGCTGATCTGAAGAGGTAATGATTGACCCTTCAGTTTCCACAACTCACCAGTATCGTATTTCCCGTCACGATGTCCAAGAATTTTCAACCAGACGGATAATGAAAGGAAAACAAAGTCATCAACAGGGAGTTGTGTTGACGTACTATCAGATTCTCAAAGCAATACCTTCCTTTTGTTCTTGTTCCTTCTGGCGCCTTTTCCAAAGACGTAACACAGCCATTTTCTGATTCTCACTTTGGGATATGCCCAATGCAATTCTAATCCTCCTTCTGGTCTTCACCCTGCAACCGGTAACATTGATGTTGGCTAACTTGCCACTGTTCTTACATTCCAACGCCTTATATATAATGATACGTTTTCTGCTTTAGAGCCACATTATTGACTTTCGCTTTCCTCAAGCTTTCACCCAAATGCGTCGTGTTGGTTTCGACTTGTGTTCAATGTAGCACAGTTCATCGTAGTTGTCTCACAGCGCTTCCGGTTTCCGTAACAAATTAATTATTACAAGACTGGAGGGCCAGGGGTTCATTTTTTTCTCTGGTCCTGACCCTTTGAACCCCGAGGGGGACTCCCAAATAACAAGGACAGGGGTGCTCGTCGTATTTTTTAGGGGTTAAAAAGGCGGGACCGGTTTGGTACCTCTTAGGCTGTGTTCAGCCCTAAAAGGTCTGCAGCAGGAGTTTTTAGGGTATTGAGCCGAAAAAGGTCAATGTCAATTAATTTGTTGTTTGAGAATTGGTACCTTTTAGGGGTGAAACAAATTTCGAGCCACACCCACAAAACAGGATCTTTTCAAAACTTCCGACGAGCACCCCCATCCTTTGACCTTTCCCGCATGGGTGCTCCTGACAGGAGTTAAGACTGCAGGCCGCCAGCAGAGCTCTCCAGGTCGCTGAGACGCACGAACCGCCCAGCACGATAAGGTAGTGATCCCACGGAAACCGTTTTGGAAGTAACTAGTTTACTGTTAACGTCGCCTGCGTTGCAAGCGTTCCGTACGAAGAGCTTTTCCGCATTCTGGCCGCGCGTACATTGGAGCGAGAGCAAAAACTCGACGTAGCAGGGGATGGTGGGGTGAATTTTTGCTCTCGTTCCAATTTATGCGCGGCCAGAATGCGGAAAAGCTCTTTGTACGGGTACGCTTGCTAAGCAAGCCACTGGAATCGATAATGAATGTATCAGACCTCGTGCAGACATAACAAAAAAACTTGTGAGTAATACTCATGAATACGCCTTAAATACTCCCGGTCCAGCACCAACCCTACAAACTCAATTTTCTTGCTAATAACACTTCACATTTTGTAAGAGGACAAGTCGTATTTTGCAACAAACCTAGCTCGGCTGTCAGTGCAAAGTAGTCATTTTGTCACAATAGTCATGTCACTCTGTAGATGTATATCTAATGGATTGAAAAATAGTTTTTTTTTTTTTTTTTTCTATTGTGTCATTAATAAATGCAATAGGCTACCTAGCCATGTCGGGAAGGCTGATAGTCTCAACTTTCCTTAGAGAAAGTCGATTTTGAGGCTTTTATAAAAAAGATTGGCCCCGTCCAGGCTACGCCGGAAAAAATTGAAAACGCAGCTTTGTTTCTACGGTTAGTTTAGGTCTTCGACCGTTCACAGTAATCTGTCACGAAAACGGAGTTTATCGAAAACGCTATTCAAACCGGAGGAATTTGAAAACGAGTGAGGATGAAAAACATTTTGAAAACGGAGTTTTTCGAGAACTATGACGTCGATCATGATAACCATCTGATTTCCCTGACCGAGTTTTCCTCCCAAAAAAAATTACCAGTGATTATTGCGTTTTCAAATTTCTCCAGCGCTAGTGTGGACGAAAAACATCTGACGCGTTTTCAGAGTGAGAACGCCGTTTTCAAATTTCTCCGCCGTAGTGTGGCCGGGACCTTATAAACTATTCTGATATCATATGTTTATCATCATACTCCTTCGTTTCGTGGTTCATTCATGGGAGTATCCCTAGTATGGTGCCTAAATGTCTTTGGATGCCTCTATCTCCATTTTTTTTTTTTTTTGGAGAAGAGTGTAATAAATAGTTGTTGTCGTACTACGAGTTCGTATACATACGCATGATATCGGCACAGTTTACACATTTTCTGACTGTCAAATTGCCATTACGCGAGATACGTTATCTTGGGTCAGGGATTTTAACTCAGGCTTTTTACGTGACTCCCTAATACTTTTCGATCGCGCGCGCGCTTAGGATGAAAGCTCAAGTAATCTGCGCGCGCTGGAAGGAAAATGTCAGTGTTTTTCGATATTTTATGACGTCAACATGAGCACAAAAAGCAAAACTGACAGTGAATTTTCTCGCGTTTCCTATGGTGAATTTTTTTGAAATTTGGCTCAGTTGTAACTACATACAATTCCTGTAAAATACCCTATTGTTGTTAAAACCTGTCAGAGCTAATCTAATATATTTAGAAGAATGACAAATTACAAAACATTGGAAAAACCGTCTGAACAACCCTTGTCTTTTTACCAATTCAAAATGTCAGGCAATATCATTTCCATGATGTGGCAAAGTATGAAAATATTTCACCGGAGGCAAGTGCAAATATTAAGGAGTTTAGGCCAAAATGAGGAATATATCTGCCTGTCATTAGATGAGATGTTGCCATGGTAACGGCCTTAATCCAAAAATTGACAACCTAAAAATAAGCCTTATTTTAACAGTACCCATACTCGTAAATCTCTACAGGGAAAACTTTAAGAGAAATTAACTAAGTTTCCTTTTCTAACTCGCGCTCTACAGGGCGGGTGTTCGTAAATACTCTAGATCTAGGGGAGCCACCTTAATTAGTTTTTTTTTTTTATTGGCAAGTTGACTAAGGATATATATCGCAAATTGAATGCATAATCAAACTGTTGCAAGTCCGGTCCATGAACTTTCGCTTTCCCACGCTATATATACAGGGGTTGAACCAAGGCGGGAGAAGAGATAAGCTCGACTTCCAGCCGCTGTCCAGGAAACGAGTCCTGAGGAACAAAAACTGGACGCGAGAAAGCGGCGGAAATCGAGTCTAGAGAAGAGAGAGACTCTTCTCCCGCCTGGGTGTAACTGCTACTGATAGAGCGCGCGTAGAGGGAAGAATTCAGGGACTGGACTAAATTTTGCGTGATCTAGCTCCGTTTTGCGTTATGCATTGCTAAATGTTCGAGGAAGTTCTTGGATGGGGCAATGAGAGAAATAAAAATAGCCACGCAAATGCATGCATGAGCTATTTTGTACTTCTTAGCGAAATTCCTTTGGACTTGCCATCGGTGTTTAGCGTTTGAAAAGCGAAACGGCTCGCAAAAGTACAAAACCGTTCTCAGGAAGCACTCCAAACACCCAAAACTCGAAAGAAAATCAGGCAGCGTACTTTGATTTCTTAGACACAGGAGGATACAGAGCTTAGAGGGTGGTGAAAAGCGCTCTTCGACGGCATACTAAAGCTGGCAAACTCAGTCGGCAAAGAGATTGATAAACTGTTGGACAGAAATAGAATTTGCCTCTTCTGCTCGCCAACTTTTCCACCAGCTTACTCGTATTTTGGCAAACGTAACTGTCAATCAATCAAAACGCTCGCTCTATTTAGGTGATTTTCGTGACGATTTTTAAAACGGCGGACGAACACCAAGATGAACCTGAGACCACTTTTATATTTATGGAAGAGGTTCAAAATTGTCCGGCTGTGTGGGACATTTCATCTGCAAAGATACTAAAAACAGGCAAAGGGAACAAAAGGCTCGTGGAAGCAAGTTTGATCCATGTGCAAAACAGTTTTGACGGCCGCGGTATCTCGGCGAGCGAAGCTCTTGGACGAGCGTCTTCAAGCGTCAAGGGAGGGATCTCTGCTGATATACAGTTTCGTTCAAACCTTTCTGCAGTTTCTCCACCGCTTCTGTTTCTTCTCCGGTGATTAACATAAATAAGACCAACACACAAGCGGCAACTCTTCCTGAGTGCCACTGACTACGTCAGCCATGTTGCAAATTAGGCTTGTGTTGAGTTCTGACACGAGTTTGACGTGGAGGTACGAGTTTGCTAACTTTTTGAAGTTTGCCAACTTAAGTTTGCCGTGTGAAGGCTGCTTAACTTTCTTATACCATTGAATAAAGACTGAATAAAAATCTGAAAAAAAGTCATGGACAGTAAACGGACAGCTCTACTTACGACCGCTTGCACCAAACCCCGTTTGAATTCCCATTCAAACTCTGTATTTACTTCAGTATTCCCGTAAGCGGACATTCTTGTAAGCGGGCGCGGACACTTGGAGGGCTTACGATCTCTAGAATTTTCCTTTGTCCTCCGTAAACGGCCACTTGAAAGGTATTGCGCCTGACTTTGAAAGATACTTATAAACATTTGTAAAGTGTCTTACTTCTTTTTTGTGGCAGCGAGACTGTTAATGCTAATGTTAATCAGGTGCAGGCGGCAATTATGATTTGTTCTTTAATCCCTAAGGGCCAATCCTAGAACTGCAGTATACGAGTATACAGGACTGTGTAAATGCATGCAGTTATCACCATTTTAACGGCATTGCACAAGGCAATAAAACAAAAGATAAATAATTTGGTGGTATCTTTGCATTCCCAATTTTTATTGTTAGCTGGGCAAGCTCCCGTAGGCGGCCATCTTTACAACTTACTCAAGTGGCCGCTTGAACTATTTTCGTAAGCGGCCAGCTTAAGGCTTGTTAAGAATGCCTCTTTTGGTGGCATTCCAATCCTGAAGTTCCTTTCCATTCCCAAATTTTAGCACGTGGGTGTGTTTGTTGTTAGAAACAGCCCTGTGACGCACAAAATCACGTGACGAAATTCATGACGAAGGCGTTTTACAGGCGCAGAAGGAAGTGCTAGGACTGTTACCAGTAATTCGTGAACATTTTGAGGTGTATTTGTCGTCTTCCTAACTGTGGACACTACAGTTCGAAAGATTCAACCGATCTTTTAAATTTGTTTGAATTTTGTGGACATCTAAAGTTGCTTATCAAGCCCTTGTGAAGACCATCACAGTCGTTGTAATCGATCGAAGAATTCATCATGGCGGAAAAACCTCCACCGTATCAAGCTTCAGGCTATCCCCAGCAAGCTGGTCAGCCCGCTTACCCACAGCAACCGGGCTATCCACAGCAACCGGGCTATCCACAGCAACCGGGCTATCCACAGCAACCGGGCTATCCACAGCAACCGGGCTATCCACCGCAACAAGGCTATGCACCACCACAGCAGGGCTATGCACCGCCACACGGCTATGGGCCGCCACCTCAACAACATAGCCAAAGCACGGCCACCACGACGATCATCACGCAGCCCCAAACTGTTGTAGTGGGAAGTGCTATGTATGGTGAAGCCCCCGTGTCCATGGTCTGTCCTTACTGCACTGCAACCATAGTCACGTCAGTGACGTATACCCCTGGCACACTGACTTGGCTCGCTTGCGGAGGGCTCATCTTGGTCGGCTGTGGGGCTGGCTGTTGCCTCATTCCGTTTTGCATCGATGGCATGCAAGATGCTGTTCACAGTTGCCCGAATTGCCGAAGGCAGCTCGGTGTGTTCCGTCGAATGTAGACAACAGACGGAGGAAAAGGAAAGAACAAGAGGTGAAGGAAAAACGGCGGAACGACCATTAAATTTCATTCATTTTGTAGCCTAACAGAACTTTAAAATATGTAAGACTTAATATGTAAGCTTAACATGTCTCTTCCCTTTTCCTTGAACATGCAATCTTATTCACTTAGATACAGTTGAACACACTTGTGTGGATCGCAAAGTAATGCTAAATACTCATTTGTTTTGATCGTCTTTTTAGTCTTATAACTGACAGTGGAAAAAGTGGACATTTCCAAGGTTTCGTGATCGATTTTCACTGGCTTTCATTTCATGCCTGTTTAATTTGAGCTTAGCATGAATTAAGGAAACTTACAAAGCAAAATAGTTTTGCAACAAGGAAAATGTGGTGAAGCATGCATGATTTGGTACAATATAGCCTTGTTCTGTTATTTAGTACATAATCAAGGTGTTTCAATGTTTTGTTAAAATGATTTTATTGAATGTTATATGTTAAAATAAATATATATCTTAGAATATAGTTGATTACACTGTAAGTAGATTGACAGTTATTATAATGTTATTGATCTGAAGGCAAAGCAGAGAGATAACTAGTGTAAACTTTGGACTGCAATTGTAAGTAAATGCTGTAGCTTTCATGACCCAGTTGCTAGTTACATGTAGTAAGCGGACACTGGTAATACATTGGAATATTGCTGAGGTACTGCTGCTTAACACCTGTTAATTTTAAGACGAATCATAAATGAACACATTCGTCTCTAATATATTATTGTTTGGTGCAAAAGTAAAAACAAGAGTAAGTAAATGTCCCTTTTTTTCTGCTAGGAAGTCTCATTTTTTTTTTTTTTTTCATTCATTGAACTTTTGTGATCAGTACCGTATATAACACTTTTGTGGAGGTGCAGTAGCCTCATGGTTGGCACACTCAACTCCAGATTGAGCGGTCTGGGTTTGAGCCCTGACTGGGGACATTGTGGTGTGTTCTTGGGCAAGACTGCACTTTACTCTCACAGTGCCTCTCTCCACCCAGGTGTACAAATGGGTAGCAGCTAATTTTATGTTGGGGGGAGATAACACTGCAATGGACTAGCATCTCATCCAGGGAACAGAAGAAATACTGCTAGTCCCTTCATGCTGCAGGAACTGGGATAATCTCTGGCCTGGCTCATATGAAGACTTAACCTATATAGCACTTTGATGCTGGACTATGATCTATTTAGTTTGATTTGTACCTTTGCATCAAACAGAGCAATGTCATGAGTATTTCCTTTTTAATCTTTATTGAAAGCCTCTTGCTTGTTATTGCCCCTTGTTGATTAAATTCTTCCTTGGTGATCTATTAATATGTTGCTTCATTTATTTGAACATAATTTTTGCATATTGTTAAAGTGTGGTCAATTTTGTATGAAAATTTGTCACTTTTTTATGCTCTGTGTTCACCATGTTCCGATCTGTTTTATAATTGAACTAAATCGCCGGTAGCCGTTACTGTTTTCATTTGTTTACATTGAATTTTGTGTACCCCTCGGGAGCTTTAAATTATAACAGTGGTATATAATTTTTGAGGGAGATTTTGATGCTCTTCATAAGAATTCCATCGGTCTTATTAATGACCAACTAGCTGTATTTCATTTTTCTGAAACTTTCCTTTTTGCACATAGTTGTCATTGGTTGTCCTTGTTATAAGTTAGTTGCAAAGTTGACTTTTTTGCTTTGTCATCATTTTGCATTGGTTGACACAAAGAGGTGACAATTTTGTGTACTTTGTGAAACATTGGAAATGATTACTAATCATGCATAGTTGTCACTTTTTACTTGAATGTAGTGCTCATGGATACAAAAATTGTCTCAGATTAACTGCTAAAGTACGATACAAATGCAGAAATACACACAGAAATGTATCATGAAGACGGTATACACCCACTCCATTCCAGAGATGAATGCTAATACATCTACATTGTCAAGCTTAAAATGGGGGAACCCAATGACAAGAATTGATTCATCTGGCCATAGTCTCCTCTACTAACTATGATCTGGCAAACATGGTTGAGGGCTAGATGAAGTGAAGACAAATTTCTAAGATACTCTGTCATTGATATATTCATTTGAATGCCATGAAGATATTTAACCGTATAGACAGATTTGGCAAACATGGTTACATCCTGGTTGCTACCTAATTCAGATCATGTGATGACTCATTTTGGGAGGTATTGTGCAATTTGTCACGTGCAACTGATTACAAACAGAACAATATTGTAAGCCCCCCTTCCCTAAATTATTTGAATCATCACATGACCTGAATTGGGTCAAGGTAGCAAAACTTTTTCCTCCTGCACCTCCATTTCCTTTTCGCTCTTTCTACCCCCAGCCCCCTCCCCCCACAATCGCCCGTCTCACCTTGCCAACTCTGCAACGAGAAGCTGCAGCTGCATGTCCTTCTTAGCCGGCAGGGCCTGGGTAGTCTGGGTACAAAGAAAAGGTTGCCTTTTACATGGTTCATAGAGGGAAATGGTTACGAAGCCCGGCAAACATTAAAGGGACAAACAAAGAGCCCAAGATTTGTGTTGGAAGGTCCATGACTGTGCACAATCTTTTGTTTTGCACTCATACACTATGCATGAATTATGTAACCAAAATGCTTCTATTGGTCAGTTTCTCAGTCAGAAGTAAACAACTATAGTGTTTTGCACAGGGTCAAGGTAAAAAAAGTGAACAAAAACATACAACAAAGAACTTTGTTGGATTCAACGATCAACTAGCTGTAGTCAAACTGTTTTTGTGAAACATCGACCAGTGGATGGTTTTAGGAAGGAAACCAGCGTTGAATTAGTGAAAATCTGAGTCTAAGAAGCTAGCCAATCAAAGCATGTGCTTTCTTCATCGTGCCGAGGCCCCGCCGGCTAAGAGCAGGTGGAGTGTATACGATACTGCAGAAGTTTTATCCAGCGGTATATTTGAAAAGATACAAACTTCACAAAATGAAAGTTGCTGGGGATGGGTTTGTGTGGAGATGTTTTCGCCAATTTCGTCGTCAAAATTTATTAGAAAACCGAGGAAAAAGAAAACGAACTCCATGATTATCAGTTTGCATGCGATTTTTTTCATCATTTGAGAGTTTTGGGAGTCGTACTTTGGTGCGTTGGAAAACATGGCCTTGAAACAGGAATCTTCTTCCTACACTTACAAGAGGAAGGCTTATGTTGGAAAAATGAAGAGACAGGCAAATCAGAATCAAGGCATCATGGCTCAAATGATGTACTACAGTAAGTAAATTCTGTTATTTCAGTTCTTGGAAAAGGTAAAGAGCCGTAAAGTGTATGTTACGTCAATAGGCCCTTTGCAGCTGGGGTCACGTGACCAGATTTTTCCCATAAAATTTTTATATTATGGGCTATAACTTAAAGAATGTCAGAAATGGAAAGAGCGCATCGAAAATACCAACATGGCCAAGTTTGAGGCCCCTGAAATTAAAGAGTACGTTTTAAGTTGTAACCCATAATTTTATGAAAACTAGGTCACGTGATGGCTTAGCTGCAAAGGGCCTATATGTTTTGGCTTGAGATACTGTAAGCTGGGAAGGCTCGTCTTACTTTATTGTGACCACTAAAATGACCTTAATTTACTTATGGTAGCTCAAAGCCTATCCTTCAAATACTTTCAACAACACAGAAAGTTTTGAGTATCACTGGGAGGGCAATTTTAAAACACGAAATGGCGAAATGACAAAATGTCACTTCAGTGAGCATAAATAGTGCTCAGGTTAGCCTAAATATCACTGTCTTGATAGTGGCTAGCCCTCAAAAATGGTAAAGGTTATAACCCTTACAATTATGTTGTCTTTGTCAAACCAATCATCTTGTCTTTGTCCTGCTTGTTAGTTTTCTTGTGGTCTTGCAACCCTTCTTCCCATCATGAGATCAGAAGAAGAAGAAAAAGAAGATTTTGTGTGTGTGATGTGTCTTTCCTCTTCTCCCTCAACTTATGATAATTATTATATTAAATCACCCACATTTACCTTGAACGTTATTGTGATTATTTTTTTTAAAATTTTTTATTAGTATCAGAGGCACGGCTCCGTGGTAAAATCAGGAGGATTACAGATGCTTTAGAAGAAGATCCTGTCGATGTACAAACACTGAAAGAACTATCAATAACAGGTGATGGCCTCATCACTGTAGACTTGAGATGTAAGGTCTGGACTAAGTTACTGAATGTCAATGCATTTGATGTTTCAAGAAATCAGGAGAAAAAGAAAGGTAACTTTGATGACCTTTACTTAACAAATGAGAAGGCTTGACCTTGCTTTGTAATGCAGAGATTGAAGAGACGAAAGCATGAAAGAAGTGTAGAGTTAAAATATGCAAGCAGCAGACAATTTTTTCCCCTTAACTTCTTGAGTGTTCTCATCACTTAATTGCATGCTTTAGAACAGAACAAAGCACAGTCAAGCCTATTTCAGTTTTTTTATTATAATGCATTACCTTTGCTGAAAACTAGACTGGTTTCAACAAGGTTAAAGACTCATTATTTTGGATTACAGTGAACTTTGATCCACAAAATGACAGAAAAGCAATAAGTCAGGGTTACAGTGGCAAGGCCCTCAGGTGTATGAAGCCATGAAGTGGTGTAAAATGGGACTGAAATGGGAAAATTATGCACAGAACAAAACTGAACACATGTCCACAAAATGATATTTTAATATTGCACCAATCAAATGCTTTAAATATGATTAGCAAAGGTCAATGTTAAATAGATATCAATTTATTGTTGAAAATAACTCTTCAGTCAAATGCTATGGCCCAGCAGGTTGCTTCTAGAAATGAAGCAGTGTCTCTCTTGGCAATTTTTCAGTGTGTCCTGGGTGTGTGGGTCCAATATTTGTGGGACCCTGTGTTTGTTCTCATAAGGGATAGTGTACACTGTGGACTCTACTCAAGTCATTTTATTCAATACAATTCAACCATTTAGTTGGTTAATTCACATAATGGTATTTGTTTAGCCCTATAAAATGATTGCATGCCCACTTTTAAAGCTAGTTTTAATCTAACTTAACAACAATATTTACATGTACTGCACATTGTGACAATAATATCTTATTTCTTTAGACAATTCTGAGTCAAAACAGTTTCATGCACACAAGTATTGGAAACAAGTTAACTTGGATGTTGATCGATCACGCAGAAGGTTTCCAGCTGGTAAGTTAGTCATTTTATGCCTGTTAGTGTTTTGTTTTTTCTTTCATCCCTGTGGTCTAGGCAATGACAGTGTAACTTCTTTTTTAAGCAATGACTTGTGATGTCATCGCTTAATGCTGGCATATGACGTTCCTTTGGATAAATGATGTCCCACTTATGTCACGCACAATTTATCCTGAAATCGAAGTGAGGAGAACAGGCAACTAAACCTGTTTCCTTGCAAACCACCATCTTGTTTTTCGGGATCGAGTGAAATTGTTTTTCGGTGGCTTGTATGGCATGGCCAGGGTTCTCCCTTGTTTTTAGTACAACAGGTAAAAGAGCATTCTAAACCAGTAAAGCAATCAGGTGAATCGCAGCCTTGTTTATTAGGTCTGCTCTGTACATTACATGGAATTCAAATCAATGTAGGTGATGTGCTTTCCAAGACAGGTGTTTCTTTCTCAAGTTGCAAAGCCACTTCATCGCCGATGTTGTCATTTCCTAATAAAGACATTTTATTTGAAAAGACCTCCACCTAATATGCATTACAGTTTGCTAATTTTACACCTTTGGCTTTAGATGTCAAATGAAATCAAACAGTATTTTCATTTTTAAGTGTTTTATTTTTAAGTGTTTTAGGCAAATGCCACTTCTGGGGTATCCTCGCTGTGCTTACATGAATTATCACTACAAAATCAGCAGTCATCTCTCAAAACCAAACGAAATCGCTGCATATTCATTTTCATTCACATTCTGGAAGGGTTTTATTGTCAAGGATTCTCTCAAAACGTCATCTGAAAATATATTTTTAACACTTTTGACCTGAATGTGGAGCATTTCGTGACAAAGATAGTTTTCGATCATCACACGTGAATGTTGGTCAATTTAACAACACCAGTTTTCTAAAGCCGATAGTTAGGCGGGAAGTTCATGGAACTGTAACTGTTTCCACTCGTGACTTCTTACCATTATGACAGAGAGATGAGAACAAAGTTCATTGTCACTTCATTGTCAAACTGAATGTAAACAACTACCGATGCACATGCGAAGAAATGACATCTGCCATGATGGAATTGTGGCAGAAAGCCTGCCAAAAATTCGCAGATCTTGCCTTGAAGTTCGAAAGCCACAGATAGTACTTACAAACCATAGCCTGCACAGTTTATCTTTTATTTATTCTTTTACAAGGATAAAATACTGATTATGTCAGTGAAACAACCATATATTTTTTCTTGTATTACCTGTTGAATTTTCAAGAATTGCAAGGGATTTTAAGCGGTAATGAGTGGTGCTACAGGCGGTAAATTTTACCGGTTACCGCCTGAAAAGGAGAACACTGCATGGCATTTCAAGCTACTTATGAATACAAATTCACCTACCCTGGATCCAACCCATGGCTGATGCTACCTGAGTATGGTTTGTATTAATTTTATTATCCACATGAATATAATAATAATTGACAGATTGTTACTTTTGTTGTGAATCAGAAATGAGAGCAAAAAGACGTCATGCACTTCAAGAACAACTTGTCAGAGTCATCATGAGGGTGTTATGCAGACATCAGGATCTCCACTATTATCAGGTACATATTAAAATTTTGCAAGACAGCAGATTTTAGCTGTACGGTGTACATGTAGCATTAAACAAGCCAGGTGTTCTTTTTCTCATTTAAGAACCTATGTCACAATAATGCTCACACAACTTTGACTGACCCTGGAAAGTCTACTGGAAGGTTGTTATTTTTAACCAATGGAAATATTTTGACTCTGTATCACATGCTGCCCAGAGGAAATGTGCAGCGTTCTTGTGTGGCTTTTTTAACCCATTGACTCCTGGAGCTTTTTGCCAAAAATGCAATTTTTTGGACATTTTGGAGATTTTCAGGCTGGATATGGGCCAAATTAGCTCCAATCTACTCGAAAAAATTGCAACATGACAGCATGCCTTTCTTTCCACTAGCATCGCGTTTTATTACATTTTCGCTCAGGCATGTGCAGAAATCAAAATTTTGATGAGGTACGTCTTTAGGCTTTTCGATTTTTTTATTTATTTTTTTTCGCCTTTCCTTTTTCTCCTTTTCTTTTCTTTTTGCTGCAGTGATTGACCTTCTACTGGGCTTGCTTTCAGTTTAAAACATTCTGAGAAAGCATCATTGAGACAGGCAATTTTTGCCATGGAGTAGCCACATTGTAGCAGCAGGAAATTTTGCTCTGAGTTTTTCACTCAATGTTTTGAGCATTTTTGTGCATATCTCAGGCTCCATTGGGCCAATCACTCTGATCTGGGTATCATTGGAAAGATCATTTCCTCCTGCAAAAGTTGAGCATAGATGATGCCAATTTTGGTCAAGGGTGATGATGTCAGAAGTGGAAGAAAGGCCAAGGCTCATCATGGCCGGTTATGGCCAGCACAGGAGTCAATGGGTTAAAGAAACTTTTGTCTAATGCGGAGACCTTGATGACTTGTCTTTGGCCCCTTGTGTGGAATGAGCCACTTTTTATTAATAGCTTCTTTCCAAGACAGCAGATTTCTCTGAAATTTTACAAAAAAGTACAAAATACGCAGTGAACATCCTCCAGTAGTGATAACCAACTACAACAACAACAATAATAACAACAATAGCTTATTTGTAGCTCGTCAAAATAAATAGAGTATTCATACTTGTACAATATGTTTGATGAAAAAAGGTTATGATCGTCACCAGTCCTAGCTCTCCTCTGGGAGAATAGGGCCATAAAAAGGAAAAAAGGTAGTAGGGCACCTAACATAACCATAAGAAGCTAAACTGGTTAGGTGCCAATTAAATAATACAATAATTATTCAAAGCTTTTTGTCATAGTAGAGATAATAAGTTACAGTGTAAATAAATAAAAGACACATAGACTGATTAATTAATAGAAGTTGTAAACTACAAAATGAGTTATTGCACACTAAAAGGCATAGAAAAGACATAGGAAAAATATACAAGGACAAAGCATCAAAACAAAATTGATGAGTATGTTAATATACTTTCAAAGTTCCCACAGCATCGATGGAAAATAATTTTCTTCACTGATGCCAAAAAAATTAGACCTTAGGTCGGAAAATCAAATCACTGCCCCTGTGCAGAAGAGTGCAATAATTTTTGAACAGCAATTGTGCTATGTACAGTTATATATTAACCAACTGTTCTGGGCTTTTAATTCTCAAGGGCTACCATGATGTCGCAGTCACTCTGTTGCTTGTTGTTGGGGAGGATCTAGCCACAGCTCTTCTTGAACAACTTTCTCTTCATCAGCTTAGGTAAAGCATCCATACCTTATTATTTATTTATTTATTTATTTATTTATTTATTTATTTATTTATTTATTTATTTTATATTTATATATTTATTTATTTTTTGCTTCATTGATTTGATGATGAACAGAACTCCAAAATTCCAGACTTAAGAGCATGTTTACTCAACTGTTGTAGGCAGTCAGAAAGAGGACCTAAAATAATTAGTTGGGACAGGCAGGGGTCTCATTAATGTTTTCATCAGGGGGCAACTGGTTTTGACAGGCCGGGAAAACTTTTTGACTTGAACGTCTTTATAAGAAAAACGTTCCCTAGATGGTCAGACCAAATGGGTAAAATCATTCTCACAGCCAGTCAGTTTGCCCAGTGTTGTGCACTGGGCAAACTGATCAGCTGTTAGGATGATTTTACCCATAGCCAGCCCTTAACGAAACCACTGGGGACAGGTATATTCTATGTTATGCCAAGGTATCCACACTGCTGAAGGTTATCTTGGTATCTGTAACATTAAGTGATGTGGAACATTTCTGCTCCCTGCTGGATGGGATACTAGCCCATCACAAGGTTATCCCTAGCATTAAATTCACTGGTACCCATTTATACACCTGGGTAGGGAGAGGCACTGTTAGAGTTAAGTGTCTTGCCCAAGACCACAACACAATGTCCCCAGCCAGGGCTCAAACCCAAACTGCTCAAGTAGTTCAAATGTCACTCTCCATTGTTTGTATGTGGTACTAACTCGACAGAAATGTCGGACAGATTTCCACATTGACCTTCTTCCCCTCACACAGTTGAAGTAACTGGTATAATGAATTTGAAAAATAACATATCTGGTTGTATTTTTTTTTCTACTGATGCAAGGGATTTCATGGAAGGTACAATGGAGAAGACCAATGAAATGCTAGCATTTCTACATCCCATTATTGAGGAAGCTGACCCAGAATTAGAAGATTTTCTTATTAGGTATGTATTAATCAACCATCAAATTATATTTATTTTAACCTGCTTGTAGTAAAGTACAGTTAGCTCAAATCATGGAGGAGTTTTTCTCGTTCCGCTGACAATAAGCCATCTATGGCCCTGGGTAGAGAGGGGCACTCTGATGAAAGTCTTGTATCCATTAAAACAGAAACTTTGCACCCCTGGTGACTTTTGTCCTATGTTTTTTTTTTTTTTCACCCAGATCAGAAGTAGGCCAAGTGTTTGCCCTTAGCTGGCTGATCACATGGTATGGTCACGTGTTGAAGGACTTTACCACTATTGTTCGTTTGTATGATTTCTTCCTGGCCACTCATCCTCTTATGCCAGTTTACTTTGGCGCTGCTGTAAGTTTGTGTGTTATTTTCTTAGACACTGCTGCAGACTGTTTTTTCTACTGTTTCTGTGGATTATATCAGTGTAACGTAACGTAACGTAACGCAATATATTGTGACAGGTAACGAGAGTAACGGAAAGTATGCCTTAATTTCATACATTCAACAGCGATTTTCTCTCTGGTTCGTTTCTTGTTTAAATCGCTTCCGGAGGGTACTCAAACAAAAGCCCTTCACAATGTTTTTAACATCAGTCTGAACTAGGGACCTAAATAAGGCAGGGTATTGATTTAAGAGTCAGGTCATAAATAAGGTAAAAATCACAGATTTTGGTCTTAAATAGGGTAAGGGTTTTAGAAAGTGAGTCGTACACCCCCAACCAATTTTTCTTGGAGCACCTCCCCCGGGAAATCAGTCACGTTCACCACAACAATTGGAATGCCACGCTTGCAAGGTAGTAAAAGAAAACTTGGTAAATTAACGTCTCTTATTGTGACAGCAAATCTCACGATAAATCAACCAAAACTCTGCGCCAAAACCGTGCAACCGGTATCAAGCGCAGGAAAAGTCACATGTTTCGGTCAAAACTTTTTTTTTTGAGCTGCAAGTTCGTTCTGTTGGTCTGCATCGGCGGGGAAGGGAGTTGTTAACGTAAATTAACCGCCGTATCGAGTTCTTGAAGGTGATGACTTTCTGAGCGTTACCTCGCCCTTAGTCAGAGCAAAATGGTGGATTCTGGGTTATGTGTATGTTTATGTATATAGCGGACAAGGGTTTTCGCCGATCGAAGAGTCAGGTTGTTTTTTTTGGTAGACACGTTAAAGATGACAGTAAGTCAAAACTGTAATTTCATGCGAAACATCAGTTCAAACTGTAGTTTCAAGCGCGACACGCGTGCGCAATTGTGGCCTGTCAGCAAGCGAATATGACACAAGAAGAAACCTGATCAAATTTACGAAAACACGATTTGTGTATTCAAATAACATTAGTCAGTGTCGTTTGAACTGAGTTTTGAACCAAATTTAAAACTCGACAATCGACGAAATCAAAAACTGGAATACTAATTAAAATTTTAAAAATTCGTTAACGAATCATTATAACTGTTGATCAGTTTAATGTACATGTCTTTATTCTTTAATTAGCTTGTTATTCGGCGTCGTTCTGAGGTGCTGAATGGCGAATGTGAAATGAGCTATGTGCATCATCTGCTCTCTCGTATTCCTGATGATCTCCCTGATTACGTGGAGGAAGTCATCGCCACAGCACACTCGCTCTTCTGTAAATATCCTCCTGAAAAACTAGCTGGAGCTGTTGAACGTTCCCTTAAAGAAAGGTTAGTGAGATCGTTCCATGAATCCTAAGTTTCTCCTTTTCTGTAACATTTTGAACACGAAATTTAAGACGACATCCGGTAGGAAGTCGGGCAATTTAAGTTTTAAATGGACAAAAATATTATACCACAATGACTTGAAGTATTTTACAGTCCTTTTTGCATTTTCTAAAAGCTAAAGATATAAACAGTCGCCTGAGGTAACACCAAAAACAATTACCCAAGGGAACTCGGGAAAATAAATTTCAAAGTTCAGAGAAATCGTGCAAACACAGGTAAAATTTTATCCTCAGTTTCATTTCAACAGTACTTTCAAGTGTTTCATACGAAGTTCAAAATTCGTTTTCGAAATTTGGTGTTGCTAGGAATGACTTTATTTTTAGAAGATATTTAAAACAGTCGCACAGAAGTTTGCAATACGATGTAAACAACCTCGGTACAAAGTTTTTGTCCACTTGTTACTCGAACTCGTGGTGGATTCCTTCCTAAGTTGCTTTTTTTGTTTTCATTCTAGCATGGCCGTAGCTAAGCACAAACAGTTCTTACGAGACTTAGAAGATCAAAGACCCGACTCGGTTTTAAGACAACGAAGAAAGCAGCTGGCGCTTTACAAAAACAATGAGCTTGAAGTCTCACCGAACTTTCAATCACCGAATCAGACAAATGTTTACATGAAGTTTGCCGTATGGACATTAACGGCTTCTGTGGGTACCGTGGCACTGTACGTGCTGAGTTCTGCAAAGCGGTGGATATGATAAGAGTTACCTTCTTGATAGAGGATGACTCAATCCTCGAGAATCCTCGCGTGATACAAATGCGAGTATCGTGGTCACGCCAAGCGAGACACGCAGTCCTCGCATTGACGTGCATTAGAAAATTCCAAGCAAATATCATCGATCTTTGAACCCTTTATGTGGTTTAAGTCGTCCGATCTTTTTTCAAGTAAAATTACATTTGGAAACATAATACAGCTTGGGAAACAGCCGGTAGCAAGACTTTTCGCGTTCGCGCAGAAATCTGATAACGATAAAATCAGAAGGGTGATATTTTTCCCCGTCTCCTCAATACGTTCCCTATATGAAGTCGTTCTCCGATTAGAACAACTAACTTATCTTACTACTGATCGGATTTTTCGAGTTTGTGGTCAGCCAGAACGTTAGTCCTGCAGATTGCATGAGGTAATTGTCACTTGCACATAACTAACGGTGGTCGCATGCTCCAGTTAACTCAAAAACTCAAAAAAACGAATAACGTCCGTCGGATATAAATAAATATAAATAAATATTCTAAAAATGTTAAAAGTTCATATTTGTATTGAGAAAATAAATATGTTCCTGTTATTGTTGTTGTTAGATTTCATTCCTTAAATGTGTTGTCTGATTTGAAGAAATTATCGTTCCGCTAATCTTTTGCTTACATCAGTAAAGCACTGAAACAATCCTGTGCTTTGTGAACAGACTATTTCCAACGATGGAGCTTTACTTACAGCACAAGGGTGTTGAATGGATTCAACTGCCTTTAAAATACGACTAAAATATGTTGCCGAAAGATGCAACTAGTGCAAAGCGCGGTAAAGTCGCTTCAACCAATCACGGTTGTTTTTGGTTTGACCGCTGATTGGCCGAGGGAACAACCTCTTAGCTGTGATTGGTTAGTGCACACATGTTACACGCTTTTCTTGACTGTGATTGGTTAGTGCAAGCATGCTACGTGCGTATCCCTCGTATCCCTCGTGAACCATGTACACAACTCAGCCAAAGCCAAAAAAGCGAACAAATGATTATTTGAACAAGTTATGCGTTAATTTTGTAATAAATTACAGCCCTGGCTACGTTTAACAAACTAGCCATTCAAAAAAATACTATATATTTTGAAAAAATAAATAATAGATAAATTCTATTTACAGCCGTATCAAAATTTAACCAGTAGTGGTAATAGAGTTTTAACAAGGACGAAAACCAGGTTACTATAGTCTTAATGCTACTGCACACAAGCGTCTTTCAAAATGTTCAGAGACAAGTCAGTGAAATCTTCTGCTTGCGTTTTAGTAGTGACATGTGGAAAATAATTTACAGCCCAGTAAAGCTTGCCATCTACAGTGAGGATGTTGTGCCCGAATGTAGGACCCATTGTGGTCTCGTGTACACCAAAATACAATCCGGCAAACTTGTACGGACTTTCTTCGCTTTGATTTGTTTCTTGTGCTCCATAATTATTAATATTAAAAATTTGGCTTCTACGACCTTCATTGTATTTAAATTCGGTCATTTTACAGTATGTTGGAATGTCAATGCACTTGTAAAACTTGAGAAGGTTCCTGTGCTTTCCGGAAACCAGTTGAGTGTGCACCTCGCGAGTACACGCGCGTGCAAACTCCCAAAAACCTTGTTCGTCACCGGGATCGACCAGGGGTATTGGAATAGATAACGTACTTGCACTGACATAAGCTCCCAGTGCGTCGTTGTTCACCTTTGGCTGGCAATCTTTTCGTAAGCTGATCGAGTAAGTTGAATCCACGCAGACGGGCGTCTTTATGTCTTGTTTCGGCTGAAGAATTCGCGCCATCGCGAGATGCGTGGAGGCAGTAATAGCCCCGTGTACCGTGCACTTGTTTTCTTTACAGCTCTTTATCAGCAGCCTGGTTTCTTCTTCAGACAGGTTGCGACTCAGAAGACAGGTTCTCTTGGACACCAGTGGGTGTGAATTGGCAACAGGAGGGCAAACTGACAGATATTGATTCGGCTCTGGTTTGACAAAGAATGTTTTAACCCGCTGCAGGACGAAAAAGCTTGAAAACAACAGTCTCTCCAAGACGCTTGTTTTTACAAGATCTGATGTCAGTGCTTCCACAGGAGGTCCCAAAGGCAAGCTGTTGACTTCAACTTCTTCACCTCTCTGTAGAGAAGTTAAAAATTCCAGCAATGTTTTTTGAAGCTCGAAGATGGAAAGCGCGTCACAGGTAACATGTAGAAATGTGAATACCAATGCATTTCGAAACTTTCCATTGGCTAGTGTTTCTTTTAGTAACCTGACGCGCCACAAAGGCCCTGTTTCAATGTTGAATAAAGCACCGTTTATTTCTGCGTCGAAGCCTTCCTCCCAGTTATCAGCCGTTATCCCGTCAAATACTTCAAAGTCAACTGTATCAGGGCTGTCCATTTCTTCAAAGAACGCTTCACTGCCTCTCTCGTTGATTCGCATCCGTAATAAAGGAAACCGCTTGGGAAGAAGACGGAGCGCTTTTCTAAGGTGATCTTGGTTCAGTTCTTCTTCAGAATCCAGCAGCAATACAGAGGAAACAGTCCCCCAGTGATTCACTCTTTCTCTTTCCAGCAGCACCTGCTCTAACAATCCCAGACGCCTCGATAGTCTATTGTTATTCTGCAATCGGTGGACGGTAGAATTAGACGTATTTTTTCTCTTCTTATGAATCATAAAAGCGATCAAGGCCGCTGCGACCAAAAGACAAATGACCAGAGGTATAATAAAGGAAGCGAGCATAACCAACATGACGATTTCAGCAGTAAGCCTATTGTCTCGCTACTCTGACCTTCTTTCTCCTATGGTTTCCACAAAGTGACTAGTAAGGCAATAACGTGCCGGTATTTTATAGCTATCGGACGTTCGTGATAAGTGAATATCTAATAGCATTTGTTAGGGTTGACAAGTGTAATCCCCCCGCTGTCAGTGCGTCATTTGAGTTGCTCGGTCACGCCATATTAGGCGATTCATTCCTATAGCTGAAACTTGAAGAATCGCCCTAAGATTAAATCTAGGCTATATATCTGAGGTTCTTTCTTGCATTTTTAGACCATCAACAATCTTGGAGAGTTTCTTTCCTCTAGGGTGTCGTACATACCGTAATACAAGAACGTTTTTTTCGGTGGTGAATGGTTTTCAACGCGTCACAAATATGATTTTCAAGTCCATGTTCAATCATTTCCAATTTTAGCCATTTAGTGGCCCACGCACGGTTTCCTAACGAAACATTTGTGGTTGTCAAAATAACACTGAAAAAGTGACGAGATCAACTGCGTCGCAGAAATATTGCAAACGTCACGCTATGACAGACAAGTTTTTTGAAATAATCTAATTGACAAAGGCTTGGTGCAGGTGAAAAAACAAACGCTACTTTTTTTGTGGGGTTCTATCTGACATTCCATCAAATTCAAACTGGGAGCCGTTGAAATGGAGGGAAATCTCAAGATTCAAGTGAAATGTCAGGATGTCATTGGAAAGATTCGCAGGGATGGCAAAAACTGACATTTAATTTTCTCAGAAATGTGACGTCACGGAGAAAACCTCTTTCAGTTTTGATTAAGCAATATTGTATCACAGAGTGGATTTATTGTTCACTGTTAATTGTCTCGTTCGGAATAGCCTAAAAATAGCGTGACGTGAGCTTGACGTGGCTGAAGCGTTGATGGCCAGGTCACGCCACGGGATGTTGTGTTGGTCTTTGTGACATTCCCGTAAATACAAACTTAGTAGTGTTGAAATGGAAGGAAACTTCTTTTTAATGGCCTGAAAACGATACAGAAACCCAAAGGAAATGCTAGGATTCCATTGAAAAAGTGTGTGGCAAGTTAATTGAACCGACAGAAGTTACACAGCTCAAATAAAATTTGCCCATTTCGACATTGGGCAAAAATCCCGGAGAAGGGATACCCCCCGGCCTCATATGGGCCATAAAGGTATGCCGTGGCTCCAAAGTATACGGTTTTGAGCCGAGTTTGTCTAAAAAGGGTATGGTTTGTGCACTCTGGTCTTGAACTAGACTGCAAAACAGTCGTATTTTTGCGAATGCGGGCGACGGTCAATACTCGAACGAAAGGTCTGAAGCGAATGTAAAAACAGCGAGGGAGAATGGGGAGAGCGCCCTACCGGCGTGTGAGGCTCGCGCGCTTCAGACACGAGGATCGCGCTTTTGGCGCTTCGCGCCTTCCGAAAACGTCCAAAAACGACTGTTTTGCAGTCTAGTCTTGAACTTGATCGGGTATGTTTTTAGAAGAAGCTACTTCCTTATCATTACAACAAGACCATCAACATCGTGCATTGTACAATTTTGAAGCCCAAAAACATATAAACATAACCTTAAACAGTGCTCTGGACTAGGGAACTGATGAAATAAATAAACAAATAAACAAACAAACAAACAAATAAATAAATAAGCTTTATTAAGCTGTCAAACCATGTAGCCTGGGAGAAACCCATACTAATAAGAGGACACAGATTAATACAGAATACAAACTGATAAGAGTAAAATATCTACACGTAAGAAAGGTTTGAAGCAGGGTATTGATTTAAGAGTCAGGTCTGAAATGGGGCATCGAATAGACCTCGATATATTAAAATTCAGCCTAACACAATAGACTTCAGCACGAGGCTCTGGGGAATAAACATCACAAACTCTGTAGTTATTCCCTAGAGCCGCGTTCTGAGGTCTGTTGTTCGAAATTGGTCCATTGGGACGGTTCTGAAATAGGGTAGGGAAAATCGAGAAAGTGAGGGTTTTAAGAATCTCGCAGCACATCCCCTCCCAATTTTTCTGGGAGTATCCCCCAGGTCAAACTTCAGTTTAGAGTATCTCAACTTTCATCATCGAGTGAGACAACACCAACAACAACAACTTTATTTGCACCCTGAATTAAATTAAATTTACAAAACAAAGAATAATAAAAAATAAAACGAAGTGCATGGCTGCCCGAAATAACCACCATAGGCTAATGAAATTGGGCAGCCATTCTTAGCGTTTTAAATACAGTAATTTTTTATGGTGTCAGGTACTTAAGACTTATTAAGATAACAAATACAACAACACACAAACACAGACAAAAGCTAGGTCTAAAATAAAATAAAATTTAGCGAAAATAGTGAGTGCCATGTTTAGACAAAATTTGGCAACAGTCGAGAAGAATAACATGACACAGGTTTTTCTTTGTCTATGATTGTTTATCAAGAGCAATCCTGTCATTTTTGTAAACGTTTATTTTCTGTTCATCTGTTTTAAAAAATCTCAGGCATGTTGAATAGCACTGAGAAGCGCTAAAAGATATGGATACCTGACGTACGGAGGTTAGAGTCGCGCGGAAATGTTCCACCCGCCCACGCACGCTGACGATAATGCGTGGGACATGTGTGACGCACTTGTCTCCACGCGAGTATGAGTGGTTCGATGATACTTGTGAAGTTTTGTAAGCACTTATCTTAGCTCGATAAGACGAGCGGATTTGCAAATTATGGGGCGTGCTTCCAAAAACAATATCTCGTAGACAGTAGCGTCATGTGGATCACGACAAAATTGCTCTCGTATTAAATAAAACAGCAGCTTTGCATCATGTAGGTATGCATCCATTTATAGGATGAAAACTGCATTTTCAAGATACAGTTAAAACTCGCGTATAAGAACCTGGATTTTTCTAAGTTAGCCTGAACAGGCTCTGAATGACAGGTTCTTATGTAAAGGGAGTCTAAATGAAGAATAGCTTCTTAAAATCCAGGTTCTTATACGACCTTATACGCATGTCTTACAGAGATCTCCACAGAGGTTTTATAAAAATGGAGGCCGGTGCCGAATGTTAGCCAGATATAGCTTGATCCCAAACGTCTCATGGCGTCAATATTTTTCGCAACGCCCTCTCGCAAAAAAAAGCCTCGGACTTGAAGAATCGTCGTCTCCCAAAATCATGAGTTTATATCCGCCACACCCGAAAACTAATCAGGATCGAGCAACTTGAGCTACACTTAGATGGGTCTTGGATGGTGACGGCGAGAATTTCTCGACATGCGGAAGACTATCGAGACCTCATGGCTTGACAGAACTTAGTTCTGTTTGAAAAAGAAAGAGTGAATCGCTGGAGGACTGTTTCTTCTGTGTTGCCCTTGGATTCTCAGAAAGAACCGCCCCCGGGGAACCGCTAACTCAAGATCACCTCTCAGTCTTGTTCCCACACGGCTTCCTTTATTACGGTTGCGTATCAACGAAGAAGGTAGTGACGCGTACTATGAAAATAATGTATTTCTTATTTCTTTATGGGATGCTTGTCATAAGCGAGACTAACTCGTGCTTTCTGACAGTACGTCTTTAAAGCTGTGTTTTACTATGGCTGTGAACGTAGTTTTTTTTAATTTCTCTGTTAATTAATAAACGAAACTGAAAGTGGCTTAGTGAACTTGACATTCTCACATATTAGTCTCTTTGTAGCAACTGAATCACAAATCACTGAATCAATACTACAGCTGCCCTTTAAACGCATGTTTTCACTTCATCCCGAAAACATCAATTGCTAACAACAGTTCTCTACTGAACTACCCTCACCAGGACAATCAACTAGACGAACTACATTTTTTTTTGCCATTTTCTGCTTCCCTTCTGACGGCTTTGGTGCCTGTTTTTTCAACAGTCATGTATAATACTTACTGTAAAGTAATTGCTATTTCTGTGAGCATATATACTTCCTTAGAACAATCTGTTACCGTTTGGTGTTACAATTTTTCCATTGGAGTAGACGTTTTAAATTTGTCCTGATTGTTTGAAACGTTTAAAATTCGGTTGGTGTTTCTGTAACTTCTAAAAAAAGAACTTAATCAATATTTCCCAATTCGAACCGAACAAACTAGTTGATCACTCTGACCCTGTGCAACACAAGTTCTACTAGATTAAATCTCTGCTCCACTTTCGTAGTTCTAACTTTGCATTTCAAAATTTCAAAATTGTTTTATTTACAATTTGAATAAGACCTAGAATAGGTGCATTTCATGACCTAGAGATTACCGAAATAAAAACATTATGCTCAGGTTTCAGTGGGTTTATATTTCAGAACATTTGACCCCGCACGATATTTGAGTTATTTTGGCCACGCACAAAATTACCTTTAAATTGAAGGACACCTGAAAATAATAGTTTACTACGATAGAAAAACACCAAAGAGATAATAATAAACCATAAAGGAACAAGGATGGAGAAGATTGACACGGATTACAAACGACGAACTTGAAAAATGTAGGCTACACTTTTCAAGATGTGCAAACCGTGATGTAGTTACTTGAAGTTGTACTTCTACTGATGTCAAAACTCTTGGCTTCTCATTTCTTTGGTGATCGGCTGTGTGAGCAACCTACTATTAATATCCTTTAATACTGAGATGAACAAGTTTTAAATAGCATTTGAGCTCATGCTTACGTGACGGTATTAGTACTAAGTAGTATAGTATTACTCGTGTTTTAGCAGTTGCCATGACAACAATTATCCCTCCGGAAACGCGCAGGCGATTTGAATTAAAGGGGGGAATACATGGCAAATTTCAGTACGGTCAAGAGAGCTAATATTTTAGTCAAACAGTCATCGTGAAATAAAATTGACGATTTTCTCAGAGAAAGCTTCAGGCCAAAGTGAAGAATTTTCCAGTCCAGTCTGATTAATTAGGCTGGAATTTTCAATGAAGCTTGTTTTTAGGCTCCGATCATTCGTGTAATTAAATCAAAATTCCAGCCCCCGTAGCGATGCATTCATTGATCTGTACACCCCCTGATCTCCGAATCGACCCGCCCAGTAGGTCACGCAATGTAATATTCATCCAGACAGACATACGAGACATACGATAACACCTTTGAGATAAAATTCTCGAGAAACGCATTACAAACAAACCACAGAACTTCAAGAAGATCTTGTGAATTATCTAAAAGAGAACGCCACAGTTAAAGTACACGCAAATGGCAAAGCAAGTTGAACAAAACGAAGTACAAGAAGACAAGGAGTTGATTGCGGCTGACGAAAAATTAACGCGGCCTCTTGGCTTAACAGAACGAGTGCTGTTAGAAAGAGAAAGAGTGAATCACTGGGGGACTGTTTCTTCTGTGTTGCTGTTGGATTCTGAAGAAGAAATGAATCAAGATCACCTCAGAAAAGCGCTCAATCTTCTTCCCAAGCGGTTTCCTTTATTACGGATGCGAATCAACGAGAGAGGCAGTGAAGCGTGCTTTGAAGAAATGGACAGCCCTGATACAGTTGACTTTGAGGTATTAGACGGGATAACAGCTGATAAATGGGAGGAAGGCTTCGACGCAGAAATAAACGGTGCTTTATTCAACACAGAAACAGGGCCTTTGTGGCGCGTCAGGTTACTACGAGAAATATCAGTCGATGGAAAGTTTCGAAATGCATTGGTATTCACATTTCTACATGTTATCTGCGACGCGCTTTCCATCTTCGAGCTTCAGAAGAAGGTGCTGGAATTTTTATCTTTTCTCCACAGTGGTGAAGAATTTGAGGTAGGAAGCTTGCCTTTCAGACCAGCTGTGGAATCACTGATGTCAAATCTTATTGACCCTAGCGTCGGAGAGAGGCTTTTATTTTCGAGCTACTTTACGCTCCAGCGGGTCAAAACATTCTTTACCAAACCACAGAATTTGTATCTGTCAGTTTATCCTCCTGTTGCCAATTCAGATCCATCAGTAACGAAGAAAACCTGTCTTCTGAGTCGCATCCTGTCTGAAGAAGAAACCAGGCTGTTGATAACGAGCTGTAAAGAAAACAAGTGCACGGTACACGGGGCTATTACTGCCTCCACGCATCTCGCGATAGTGCGAATTCTTCAACAAAAGAGACACGATTTGAAAACTCCAGTGTCCGTAGAGTCAGGCTTTACTGTTGGTTTACGAAAATATTGCCAACCAAAGGTAAACAACGATGAGTTTGGATTGTATGTCTGCGTCTCTGCATTAACTGTTCCAGTACCGTTGCTTTACCCTGATGACAAGCAAGGTTTTTGGGAGTTTGCGCGCGCGTGTTCTCGCGAGGTCCACACGCAGCTGTCTTCAGGGAAACACCTGAACGTTCCGAAAATGTACCATTGTATCGATATTCCAGTGTACTGCAGAATGTTCGACTATGAATACAACGAAGGTCGCCGAACCCAGATAATGACCATCACTAACTGCGGAGCCCTCAAAACAGAGCAGAGCGAGGAGAGTCCGTACAAATTCGGCGGCATGTATTTCGGTCTACAAGGTGAGAAATTGGGCCATGTATTTGGAAACAACATCCTCACTGTAGATGACAAGCTTTACTGGGCTGTGGAATATTTTCCACACGTCACCACTAAAACGCAAACAGAAGATTTTGTTGACTTGTCCTTGCAAATTTTGAAAGAGGCTTTTGTGCAGTACGTGTAAAGAAAAGAAACGCGGCTAGCTTTGTGATCCATATACAAACAATACATTGTATGAACCAGCTGGATTAACTGGACATTTTATAGTTTATATTTTTAGCTCTTACAGATAACTCTAAATCGTTCTTTTCATAGCATTGTAACTCGGTTTTAAGTTTGCATTTTCGAAGTATTTTACATTTATTTCGTTCGTTAGACTTTCTAAAAGTCCTTACCACTTCCCAGGCCTGTTGGTTTCGCCGCTGAAAAGGACGACCTTTCGCGACTTACGATGTCGCTCGAACATTGCCATCTCGCTTCGCTCGAGGGAGATGACCAAACGAAGGATTAAGCAAAGGTCGACTTGTGGCAAGTGTATTCGTACGTATGATAGTATTTTAAGGAAATATAAACGTTAGACTACTGGCAGTCTGTGTTTTTTTTTCTCGCGGAATTCAACAGGGATTAAAGTGAAACATCTAAGTCTAAAAGATTGCGACGAGACAGGGGCGCGGTACGCCCCAATCCCTACTCGTCCACACCGCCCTTTCGCGTTCGATGAACAGTTGTTTAAGTGACCCTTGGAGAAAAGACCGGCCGCCAGCAGTCTATATAAACGCTAGTGCATCACGTCACGGTGTCATCTTGCCGCCATTATCAAATGCAGATTTTCAAATCATAGGGTTCTTATATAAAGTAGTTTAGGTGAGATTCAAGAAGAATGTCAGCTAATGAAACAGTTTTGCACGATCAAGTATTGTCAGTATAAATGGACCTGAATGACTCGGTTGTCATGCCGGCCCACATAAGGCTTCAATACTTTAAATTTGGGTCGTCGGCCTAAATGAGATCGTCTCTTAAAATGTAATATTGTGAACTTCTTGCCCAAAAAAATCGTACAATGTTCGAGTGCGTGAGTGTTGAAATTATGATACTCAAATTGCAGTTGAGGGCCACTGGTTTATCACTAGCCTGCGAGCAGGCTCACGTTGGAGCAGAAGCGCGCGCGGCGTAGCCGCGTGCGCGAAATCGAGCGGCGAAGCCGTGAGACGGGATCGCTTTGCTCTTCGCCTCTCGCGCATGTGACTCAAAGGTGAGCCTGCTCGCAGACTAGTTTATCAGTTTTTACTGTCATGTGCTACCCTCGAAAAATAAACTTGTTACTTACTTGTTTTTACGTACTAGTTGAAACTTTTATAATTCCAAAAAATAGTTATTTTGAAACCCTGCGTACTCTATGAACTCTGTAGACTGCTCACAGCCCTCTATTTTCTCGTATTTTTATTCCATCGTTGAATGCGCGGATAGAATCGCGAGAGAACTGGATGCCAACGCAAAACGGGAGACTTGATTGGGTAGGGGGTGGGGACCGAGAAAAATGGAGACAGGCGCGGAGCAGATGACAGAGATCGGCAGATCAGCAGCAAAGACATTCAAGTGTTTTAAGATTGACGCGTTAAATAAGCTGGGCCATTCAAGACGAGGGTTTCAGTTATACTCGAGACCACTTGACGGTCTAAATACACCAGGTAGGCGTTTAATCACCAAGTATTCGTCAAACCTAAGTAAAACGACTGTTTTGGAAATCAACAGCATTATTTTGGCATTTTGAAAACTTGTAATTTTAGCACAGTTTTAACACTACTTTTGTTAACGGTGGCCTCCATGCAGCTATGTTTATTGCAGACAAATAGCTCGTTGCCGTTTCCTCATGTATCAGTCGCAGTCGCAGGAACGAGCTACCCATGAAAGAAAAGAGCCTTTTCTCGCTCCTAAGTCATAGTGAACGCCGTTTAATTTGGGTCAATTTTGTCAAAATGCCGAAGCAAAAATTTGAAATCTAACTTACTGTAGTTGGCCGTGCATCTGTACTCTGATAAAGCACGCTGTTTCAACCAATCCGAGTCCGCGTTATATCGAAACTTTATTATAAAGTTTGATACTTTTTAAAATGTGCTAAGTTTACTTAACATAGATCAAATTCAACTTCCTTACAGCTATGCAGCTATTTTACGCAATCTGCTTGGCAAAAAATATTGTATATAATGGTATTAAAATGTGGTAATAATATAGCTATATATCGTAAAACTACATCGGTCATAGTGGGGAACTTCATCAATTACGTGAAGCTTGCGGGAAGACTCACGTTTCAGCCCCCGCGCGAGTCGGAACGAGTTAGCGAGGGAAGAAAGAGCCTTTTGTTCGCTCCTTGCCAGCTGGGTTTGCTCGCCGACTTCATTCTCGTTCTCGCAGCCAACATAGATTAAATTCTCCTTCCTTATCAAAAGAAGATCTTGAACAATACCCACAGCTTTACATAGCTACTTCATCTTCCGGTATAAAATTGTGTCTAAAATGGTATTTAAATGTTCTAGTACTATAAAATGCTATATTTCTAAACAGATGCATATCGTAAAACCACATCGGTCGTGCGGGGAAAATTCATCAGTTAAGTGAAACTCGGTTGCGAGAAGGCTCATGTATCAGTCGCAGTCGCAGGAACGAGCTACCCATGAAAGAAAAGAGCCTTTTCTCGCTCCTTGTAAACCTGCAAACATGAGCCTGCTCGCAGACTATTTGTTAGTCTTACCTAGTATGTCCTGTCTGGGTTTCTCCCAGAGGTCTTCGCGAAAGTAACGACCCCCCGAAGGTAACGTCAAAAAATTGTGGCCGCTAGTAAATCCCGAAAGTGGTGAGCTCCCGAAAGTAGTAATTTTCCCCTTCCGGAAAGTAGCAAGCCCACCCCCATCCCCGAAAATTGCGAAACCAGGGTTCAAATTAAGTTTTCGTGCTTGCGCCGAGTTATAATTAAAACAAAATCCATATGATTTTCATCAAATAACAGGCAAACATTAAAAGGAACTTTTCATTGAATTAAAATTGGAAATTCTGTGTCATTTTCAACAGCACGTTATTAAAAGGAACGTTTCTTTAAAATTGAAAACTCGGCCAGTGCACTGAGATATTGATACAGCAGGCTAATGTAGCAGTGCGTCATGAAGTAGAAACTTACTAGCTTTCCTGTCGACCATACAGGGACAACACGGTCTACACGTAAAGAGCTCCCCATGTGGCAGCAACATAAATTTAAACTGGAACAAAGAATGTGGTTTTGCGAATTTCCGTCTATTATTTCCCAAAGAGCGCTCAGTCGCATCAACTTTATAGAACATTTTTTGCTCTCCGAAGGTAGCGACCCCCCGCAAGTAACGAGCCCCAAAGGCGACTAATTCTGAAAGCAACGAGGGTCGTTACTGTTATATTTTTGAGTCGTACACGTGTACGACTCAAGATGGCCGACACAAGACAACTCTTTAATGAGCATGCCTGAGGCATGACTGCTGTATATAAGAACTGTTGCTAAATATCAGTTACTTTCGGAAGTTTACGGTTACAGAGATCAAAGAAACTGACTGTGACAAACGGGCGAGGCCTAGGAACTAGGCAAATATAAATCAACGTTGACTCTTAAGACTCGCATCTTAGCTGCTCGCCTCCAGAATCCGCCGTAAGAAAAAAGATGGCGGCTGGTACATTTACCCATAATTCTTATCGCACGGAAACTTAAACAACGCGCATAAAAACGTACGGAAACGTTCTAAAACCTTCAAACCTAACATACACAATGTCGATAGCACAGGGACAAATACCGCAAAATCTGGCTTTCCTTGTACTTTACGTGCTGTATTAGGCTCGCATGGTATTGTGGTAAAGTGTACAGCCGCCATCTTTTTTACTACGGAGGATTGCCCTTTTCTTTCCTCTGTGGTCTCAAGGTAGCTAGGCCATACAACTTGACAAAATGAAGTTACATATATAGAACTAGGCTACAATTTGTGTTTTAAAATGTTTTCTGTGACCATCTCAGGGAAAAAAATGACGAAATCGAAAGGTTTGTGATCTTGCAACAGTGCTATTGTTGAAGTCTGCTTGGTACTCATCCTCCTCCGAATCTTCCCCAGAATCGTCTCCACGGCCTCTTTCAACTGTCACGATCTCCTCTGTTGATTAACCAAACAAGCATTTCTGTTACTTATGAAATCTTTTTTCAGTCGAGGCTTCCCTATTGGTCGCCTCCACTCTATAAATATAACGGGCAGGATATTTCGTCCCAACTTCACGCCGGGCATACATCTCTAATAAAAACCCTTATCAGTTATGTTTTAGTTTGGCCGTAGTAGAAAAGTTCAACTCTGCCCCCTTCAATACGAAATTAAGTCCAACAAACAAAGAAATATATGGCCTTTTCTTTCGGGACGAAAAAACTTTGACGAAAAATAAAGATTCTAAGACAAATTACCTGTTGGTAGACCTCTTTGTTTAGAAATGATCTTTTGCTGCTGTCGGGTGTTGTATGTCCTACAAAAGATATTAGATAGATAATGTGTAAACACTACTAACCCATTTCTCTCCGACTGGAACCTCTAATTCCAACTATTCGTTGTGAACAAACTCCTAAAATTCGGTCCGAGTCATTCTCCTCTTTACGTCTGCCGCCTTACTGATCGGCAACAAAACATCGAGCCAGTTTGACAATTACTTGCAAAGTAGCAGTTCTACGGATCCTGCCGTTTAATCCTCCCGTTTACATGCGTTAGTGCTTGCGTTTGAGGATTTTATCTGTGCGAAATAATATGCACTTATTGACAGAGTGGGAGGGCCAGAAGGGGAAAATATTTGGCTCGACGTCAGGACGTTCGGACCGAGCGCAACGTGGTCTGTGTGTCCTGACTCGGACCTACGTCCTGAACCTAAACAGAGGCCGCGCGCGACTACACAGGCCGCGCGCAGGACAACCACAAAAAATATTCCACAATAAATTGAAAGCTTGTCATTTATTTCTTCGCCTCGGAATCCGGCAAGAACTGGTTCACAATTCATCGAATAACAAGACTAATTGTCTCATTTCCGTTTTTCTTTAGATTTACGTGTACTGCGTACACAATTACAATTCATGTTAACGGGAAATGTTGAAAAAGTAAACATGGGTTGTGAAAATGATCTGAAAATGATCTGAAAATGTGAATTGAAAAAATCACTGAGAGGCAGAAAAGTCATTCGATACAAATCTATAGCTGTAAAGCTGTTCAGTACAATTGTTCCTATTTTGATTGGCAAACCTGACTAAAAAGCCAACAGAAAGTTATCATAAAGCTGTCAAAAAATATGTCAAAACCATTAAAAAATTTGCGAGTGACTAGGCCTTTCCACAAATATCGCCTAAATGTCTTTCCGAAAATTCTCACAAAAATATCTAAATATCCCCCAAAATTTTCTAAATATCTTGGAAAATCCCTATATATCTCATATTTTTGTTTTTAAAAGAAGCCGATTTGGAATCTTTTACGCCAAAATGTTCCCCAGAGGGAGATGAAAAGTATGTCAGAGATTGTCTACGTTATTATTATGGAAATAAAGACAACTTTCAAAACAACATTGATGCATTTTTTTTTTTTCTAGCAGAGGACTGAGTATTCTAACTATTCTTTCAAGAAGATAGCGAGGAAAAGCTGGAAAACACAGTGCCCAGCCCAAAAAAGCTATAAATTTTTCTGAATATCCCAAAATTCTCTAAACATCTTAAGATGTTCTAAATATCTCGGAAACTTCTAAACAAAAAATATCTGGATAATCGTGGACAGGCCAACGAGTGACTAAAGTTTGCTTCACGTTTCACTGAAATCAATTAAATACAACACATTTGAATTAAATGCGAGTTCAGTCGAATATTCGACTGATTCAGTCGAATATACGACTGAAGCTCAACAGTTGATTTAAACGTCGCATTTTACATGTGCCGAATCAAATTCATAAATTATATTTCACCCATAACTCCACAGTTTTGTGCTGCATGACATACGCACAACGTGCTGGTGGGAATATTTGGCGGCTGTTGAGGATGCCAGTATCTGTGGTTCTTGCTTCGCTCCGATCGTGCAACATAGTTATGCAAAACCAATTACTTTTCGGCTGTCAAGCGAAAATAGCTCTATGCTACATGACATGCGGGGTAGGAAAGCAATATGGCGATTCTTGATGATAATAGTGTATGAGGTGGTTCGTACTTCTCTTCATGATCAGCAAAGTGTAAGACTTACCGGTTGAACATGCCGCGCTGCTTTTTTGTATGAGATGTTCTACTTTATTTGAGCAAAACGAGTAAACCCCCGGGTTGGAAGGCGATACGAAATGCAGCGCGTTGCGAAGCTTTTTTTCTTTTTCCAGCAGAAGATAGAGAGCGAAGTCTATGAGCTTGAATTTGATCGGGAAAGTGAAAAGAAAATCAGAGTTTAAGAAGTAATGCACTGTCATCTGTATTATAAATCACCGCGTCCTGTTTGCGCGAATAAATGGTGTTTCAAGGCATGAACGATCTAAACGCAAAATGTGTTCCTTCCCCGGGGGATACTACCAGAAAAATTGAGTGGGGATGTGCGGCCCGCTTCCCAAAGCCCTTACCCTATTTATGACTAAAATTTGCGATATTCCCTACCCTATTTATGACCTGAACAAAAATTAGAAACCCTATTTATGACCTGACCCTTAAATCAAAACCCTGTTTCAGAACTGCGTTATAATCAGTTCCCTAGTTCAGACCAATGTTAAATTACCGGAAAAACATAATTTGTGAAGGGCTTTTGTTGACTTTCTTTTCGATAATGATGAAAAAGTGGCTTTTTCTTAAAAACATACCCATATCAAGGCTAGAGTGCAACAGCCATACCCTATTTATGAGCAAAATGGCCAAACTAAGCTAAAATCGATACCCTATTTATGACCAAAACGGCTGAAAAACTATACCCTTTGGGGCCGCACATACCTATATAGCCCATAGAACGGAGTACCCCACCTCCTCCCCCACCCTGGGTTCCTTATCATTGTCAGCCGTATTGGTGGGAAACTTGGCGAGGAGTCTGGGAATGAACAGGTCGCTTGCGCTCAGCAGTTTTATTCGGCACAAAAAACACGACGTTTAAGGTGGCTCCATACGGTAATCATTTATGGCGTTCCCCGCGCAAGTGTTATGTTTTGAATGCTGTTTTTGCATTCATTTTTACACCTAGTCCTCTCAAACTTATTACATGTAATAACCAATGATTAAGTAGTTATTTCCTATCATCTCTGTTAAAATTTTGGGCTTTAGTCTTGAATTATAATTAAAGGCCCAAACAAATATTCTTTTGGTGTTTTTATGGCTTTATTTGTGATTTTCTTGAATTTCCTTCGGTGAAATCTTCCAAAATTTTCACAGAAAATCGCATTCAGCGGAATACGAATTTTAAAGTAGGGTTTGTAAAGGTAGTTTTTTCGGTTTTTGCAAATTTATGTTTTTTACCGCTGCGAAAAAACTGGTCTTACAGTTTTCCCTGAAAAGCGAGCTCCGACTAAAATAAAATATTTACTACCAGTCTGCCAAATTTTATGGAATTCCACCGAAGGAAACGCGAGAAAATTCACTGTCAGTTTTGCTTTTTGTGCTCATGTTGACGTCATAAAATATCGAAAAACACTGACGTTTTCCTTTGAGCGCGCGCAGATTACTTGAGCTTTGGTCCTTGGCGCGCGTGCGATCGTTAAACTATAGGGAGTCACCTTAAATCAAATGCCGAACTTAGAGCAGTTTTCAATTGAGTGTCATAACACCAAAACAAAACCAATTACTTACCAAGTAGACTGCTCAGCCCATCTCAAACCGTAGTAAAGCCAAAACCAAAACCAAAGTAATTGCCTGATTACTTTCGACACTCAACTGGAAACCACTCTATTAGGAGTCGACTCAAATTGGAACATGTAAAATGCGACGTTTAACCGGGCCTAAACTGTAGGCGTCTTTTCAAGCTATTTGTCGACCTCTCGGTTCCTCTTAAACGAGGTAGAACCAGCGACTGAATATTAATTACACCGATGTTGGCTCCTGCAAGCAGGGCCTGGGTTTGCTTTGCTGACTTTGCTGTGTAGTGCAAATTACACCAACAGGAATCGAACAAGCGAGTTTTAATATAATTGGATGAACTGTACGTTAATGAACTTTTGTTTGGACTTAGTTTTGTTACTTCAAAGAACATTGATGTAGAGCAATTTATTCCTATGCAAACAAGGTATGTTTGTGATTTCTCTTGTTATTTCAACGTCTCCCAGAAACTTAAAGAAAACGCACGTTCATATCTTAAGGCTTCCTTTGTTTTCATCGCGGTTCTGACTCGGTGATCTCTTGCTGTTGACCCACGATGAATTCTTTGATGTTGTCCACTTAAAGAAGTTTCGCCTCTAGTCTGTTTGCCTGTTTCAAAAGTTTATTATCCAACAGTTCATCCGGATTAGTTGTTTCCTTGATGGTGTTTACTTGTTGTTGGCTTCTGTCAGATAATTTTGCATTAGAGAGGAGCGTTTTCTCAGGTTCGGATTAAGGTGACTGAACACAGTTTTTGATGCCTGTGTTTCATTCACCTTTTTCTCTAAAACCCTTGATCTCTCGGTCGCCAAAAATGGCAGCAAGCTAGTTAACAACACAAACTTTGGTTTTTTGATGGTTAAGCTGACGTATGTGCCGTTGCCATGGCAACATGAATGAAAATAAACAGGCCTTTAAAATCGGTTTTGTTTATTTGTAGAAAATCTAGTCATTGGATTTCCTTTATAATTTGCATGCACCAAGCCTGTAACGATTCTCAAAAGTTAACACCATTTTGCTAATAATTTAACAGAGAGATCTTTAATTATCCCTTGTCGAAGGTTCACTAGAATATCTAGAATTTCCTTTGTTAAAGTTCAATTATTTTCAATACTCGAGTTACTTATTTCCTAGCAAATTTTCGTGCCAAATTTCTTGAAATTCTAATGAGTGATTCTTGAGAAATAGGCGTATTTCCGAGAGTGCAAATTTTCATTCAATCGCAATTTTTTGACTTACTACGCATGCGCTGCATTTAACTGGGTTCTTTCGGTAACAAAGAAAAAGCTGAGAATTGCTGGGTTCTTTGCATCGTTACCTTTTCTAACATATCTTTGTAATAGAAAAC